AGATGACTTCTGTCACTACCTCTTGATTAATGGACAGCAGGAGGTTAGAAACAGTGTCCCATGTAAACAACCACTTTACACCAATAGGACAATACTATCACAACTTCTATATATTGCTTGAAAAAATAACTGAATCTTTCAAATTCCTTCTGTTTTGTTTTGTTTTCTTTTTTGTTCACATATCTTTTTGAACATCAAAGTCATGTTATTTTCAGACAGATCATTTATGTCATTTTAAAATGTAGTTTTTAGTGAATTGTGCTATTTATAAATTTGAGTGAGTGTGCATAAACTACCTCATTCTAGTTCAGGCTTTGATTAGGCCACTCAAAAACATTTTTTCCTACTTTTATTTGTAGTATTCAGGGATGGCATTTAAATCATTATGCCACTGCACAACTCCCACACTCTTGAAATGAAAGGTCAGAAATTTCTGCTAGAGAGTATAATTCATGATCTACTATGGCAAGCCATTCAGTTCTTGAAGCAGCAAAGCAGACACAAGCCATCACTCTAACACCATCATGAGACTGCTGCTATGACTCTCTTTTCTTTACATGGTTTGTGCCAGGTGCACATCTTCAACCAGTCTCTTTGTTATTGTTGAATAACCAACACAGAGTGAGGCAAAGGGGGCTCAGCAGTGGGGTTAGCGGTACTTACAGTAAGATGTTCCTCATGGTTTCTTTGTGATGACGTGGGTGAATCATTTATAGGCTCTTGAAGGGATTTTGGTATTCTATTCAATTAAAAAACCATATTGTTACTTTTTTCTCTATTTATCACATGCTGTTGCTTGCTAAAGTATTTAAGATACATTTCAATTACTTTGTTTATCATATATTATCAAACATATTCAATTGGGGCACTGTGATACTCTTGATAATGATTAAACAGAAACTAAATCAATGTGCCAGTAATAAAATTCATCCAAAATTAAAATGTAATTCAGCAAGAGTATCGACTTTCGCTCCTTTTCTCATTGATACACTACAAATCAAAAATTAATTTCATGGAATAATTATCCTGTATTAAAATGAGTTTGATCTTAGATGTATAAAAAACTAGTCTCTGATAAGTTAAAAACCCTGCTAAATGTCCTATTTTTGTTTATAATTTCTATTTTAACTAATAAAACCATTACATAGGCTTTAAATAGACCAAACAGAAGTTTGTCTTTGAAGCTAATTAGTCAGTAACTTTATATAGATAGTATTAACATACTCTCATATATATTAGTGTAAAAACACAACTTGGTGAGAAGGACTTCTCATTTAAATCCAATATCGAACTGGTTTCTAGAATGTCTGTCTTTCACCTCTGGAATATTGCAAAGATTAAAACTATCTTTTCCAGGGCGATGCTGAGAAACTAGTCCAAACATTTGTTACCTTAAGGTTAAAGTATTTAAATCAGTAACTCTACAAACTGTAGTTTAAGCTGTTCAGCTGATCCAAAATGCTGCAGCCAGAGTTCTTGTACAAATCAAAAAGAGAGATCACAATTCATCTCTTTTACCTTCTCTTTTTTGGCTTCCTTTTAAATAGAGAATAAAATGTAAAATTCTCCTTCTCACATATGAATTACTAATTAATCAGTCTCCATCTTATATTAGATATCTGATTTTTCCAACAAAACGGTTTACTCTCAATCGGAAGGTTTAATTGTGGTTCCTACATTTGCTAAAATAGAATGGAAAGCAGTTTTTTTAGTTGTCAGGCTCTTCTCCTGTTAAATTGACTACCGGTTTTAGCCTAGGAGGCAGACACCCTGTCTACTTTTAAAACCTAAAACTTAGCCTTAGTGTAGCTAGAGTAGCTAAGGTTATCCCAGGTTATCTTTAAATTCATGCTGCTATTGGCTTACGCTGCTGGAATACATAGGAACCACTTTTCATCATTCCACTTCATGACCATTTTATCTCTATTCTCCAGTTCATCTGTATTTCTCAGATAAATCACTGCTTTACGATCCTTTTGAGTGTCTGATTTTGTCTAATGAACCCCCAATCAGCCTAAACAGAAGGCTGAACATAGTGAAAGGAAAAGGAAGCTTTTTTTCTCTCCACTGTTGGTGCATGCATGCTCTATGTAAGGGATTGTTGTAGAGTCAATGACACAATGCAAGCAAATGTCAAATGTAGCCAGCTAGGAAGAGCGAATCAGTGCAAAGTCAATGACTCAATGCAATCAGTTGTTTTTTCCTTAGATCGAAAACTTTTAACCAATCTGAGTGTTTGATCTGATCAAATTGTCTCTGAAAAGTCCCTTGAGATGATAGGTGTTATGATTTGCCCTATATAAATAAACTTAACTAAATTATATTGAATTCCAGTTAGGATAAGAGAGGATAGCATGGGAATTATACATGAAAAAGTTACAGTTTCTTTCATCAAATATGACGTATTCAGACCATAATTGTTTAGGGTGGTTAAATGAAAGGTCAGAAATCCAAATGTTTGGACACATTTAAACCTGTTAGATGATGACAAGTCCTTCCAGAATACACACAAAGAATCCCTGTCATTTTGAGACCAGCTATTTCTGCTGTCTCTGAAGAGCTGGATGTTTTTAGAGTAGAGGCTAATCTTGGATAAGGGCAATGAGTAGAGTCAGCCTTCCTGGTGTAAAATATCACACATTGACTTTCCTCACTCTGGATACAACTTCACAGACAGGCAGCGACAGAAGTTAAATGGCAGTTTGCAAAGTCCTAATTATTAAATGAATATTGACCTGAACATTCCGCTAAAGCAGAATAACATTTCTTTGTCTTTCAGCATATTTCCATTTAATAAAACCCTGCATATTTTATAAATCTAATCAATGGTCTCTTATATGTACAATGGATGCTTTTCCTATATGTTATGTAACGGGTAGTGGTGTTTTCCTCATATTGCACAATTGCCCTATGAGCTCACTTGCCCCATGATGGTACAGCTCTCTAAAGGCCCTTATATGATTCTTGTAAGAACTTGCCTCTCAGTGGAGCCCCCTGGTCACTATGGGGTTTTGTTGCTGCTATTTGAGCATAGAGGGGTTCCAAGAATGACAGGGTAGATCAGGGCTTACTAAATCTCCCCCACGTTGAAGTTGTAACCTTTATGAAGCACCCTAACTCAGAGCAGATATGTCAACAGGGATTATTTTACCCTGTTGTCATGCTGAATCCGCCTACAGTTTTAGTGAGAAAATGTGTCTTTCCAAAGGAACTCTGACCTATAGATGAATAGAATACAAAAGAGCGTCTAAAAAGAAAGAACAATAGTTCATACAGACACAGAGTTGACTCCACCCCCTTTTCCCTCTACAGTATTGCTGAAAAAAACAGTCCTTCCATTACATCAACCTTAGCAACCGTAAAAACATTCAAGAGGCCAGATGGATCTCTTCCAGATTAACAGTGTTGTGCTTTCCCCAGTGAAGAGTGGGCCTTTTTCTCTCCTTCTTTCCTGGATTGAAACATTTGCTTCTTGTTATTTACAATGATCAGAAAAGAGTCAAGTTTTTTATCACATGTGATGATTCAAAGTGTGTAATCATATGCAGATGTTTTAACCTTACTCTGCTTCTAATTTAGTAAGATGTATGATGATTACATCATAGATTTGAGCAATAATAGCTTGTGTTTTTCCTCACTTTCTTTGCCAGATTACATACAAAAAGAAAAATGCTGCCGTCTCAGTCTTTATTTTTCTACCCCCCAGATTATTGGGGTGCTATCAAATTTCTGGCAGATCCTCTAGTTTTACTGGACTGTCCGAGTGGTCAGCACAGGTGTTGTCAAAACTTTGGACAGCTACAGGGGTTATTTTGGTATGTTTGGTGTTTCCAGGATGTCGCTAGGATGTAGGCTTATTCCTACCTATATTAAGTTGCCCTTCTTATTTTTCACCTACCAATATCAATGTCATTGTTTTATGTTTCAATTTTAGCTCTTGAATGTTCAGAGTTTTTTGTATGGTCTTCGACACAAGAAAACTAAAGCTGCCCAGAGAGCTGTGGACATGTTGGCAAGGTAACTCAATAGAAAAGATTCCCATACTGATGAAAAAAATGAGTTAAATATTAAGATATTGGGGCTGCTCAGTGGCATAAAGGATAGCACTGCTGTCTTGCAGCTAGAAGGTTCTGACTTTGATTCCTGGCCCAAGGTCTTTCTGCTTGGAATTTGCATGTTCTCCCTGAGCATGGGTGGGTTCTCTCCGGGTACTCTGGCTTCCTCCCACAGTCCAAAAAACATGACTGTTAGATTAATTGGCTTCTCTAAATTCTCCTTAGGTGTGAGTGTGTGTGTGAATGGTTGTTTGTCTCTGTGTTGCCCTGCGATGGACTGGCGACAGGGTGTACTATGCCTCACGCCCATAGACAGCTGGAGATAGGCACCAGCACCCCTCATTCTTCTTCCTGGATGGGAAGCGAAATGTCTTCAAACTTTAAAACAAGTGATTGTGGGGTTTTTTTTTTTTTTTTTTTTTACTTTTTTTGGAATATCACTAGAATGATTGACAATAAGGGGGACCACTTATTTTGAAAGAAATTTGACTCAGGTGCACATGGATGTACATCACTATTTTCATTTCTCCATGTTCTTTTCCATAAATGAAGTTGTGTTTAGATAACACTGTAATTGTTTGTTAATAACAATCAAATATTTAATGTTGTTTTTTTTATCTATATATGATAGTGCATAGTGTGACTCCTAATAGGTGCCTTTAACATTTAAGGTTCTCTGACTCTTAAGTATAATGATATTAAACCTTTAATTATTGTTCAGCTAATTGAGTCAACTATGTAATGCTAGTTTTTAAGCACCTGAAGTGGTTAAAAGGTAACACAGGGAAAACAAAAGGAAAAAAAACACACACCTGTCCTGTTATACCAGCTAGTGTTAAAGAGATAAACTCGTTAAGATTTTAGTGAAATGATAATAGTCTTAAATTCAGCTATTTTTTTAGACTTGTTAAATTTTTTTCAGTGAAAAAAATACTCACACAAAAATTCCAGTAGTGTATATTTAATATTCAATATGAAGATATCCATGAAGTATGAATTACATGCTAAAAGCAACATCGCCAAAAGCCGTTTAACAGAAATAATTTTCATACAATTTTATCCATCCAATTTATTCATGAACAATGATTGATATCTTCTTCGTAACTCTTCCGATACTAATCTTGGTTAATGCAATGTGTTGGCACGTGGTATCCAGATACAAGTTTTTATAAAGATGTACCGGAACTTTATACATTTTTTGAGAAAAGATTAAAAAGTCTGGAAAGGATTTGAAATCCTAATATATCTAGCCGGTAAACACAACACATCTTTTTGTGAAAAATTCGAGCAGTAGAAATACTAAATATTTTATTTATGTGTTTTACAATGCAGCAGCAAAAGGCTATTTTGTGAATACAATGCTCCATAAAGTGTAACTCTATAAGATATCCTGAAAATGCCCAATACAAGTAAACAGAGTGAATGCACTCACACTAATTATGCCTTTCCAAACAGCACAGAAGACAACAAACCCTGGTGGATGCTAAATGCCACTAAGCTGATGATCCAAAAATAGTACTGAACACTCCCAGGTCAGAGTAAAGTTGAATCCATCGTGCCAATACTGCGACTTCCAACATATTTGAACAAACAAAAGGTGTCAAATACAGCATGCCTTACAATAATATTCTCACCTTTTGTTGAGCTTTTGATTTCATTTATTTTTTTTATTTACTCTCCTCTTTTAGTTATTGCTTCAAATATACACTTTTTATTATACGTAAATAAGACGTCTTTAAAGTCATGTTAGAAGATTTTCAACTTGACCCTTTATCACATGTTGGGATCTCGAATGTTTTCCATACATCTATAATTCACAGCAGTGTAAAATAATGCTACTACATGCTTAACACATTTTAGTTAATAAATGCATAATGTGTTTGTTGATCAATACGTGTTTAACTTCTAAAAACATATTTTTTTCACTAGAAATGAAACAAAAAAAAAAATCATCTTAATACTTATCTAAGTAATTTCTTTTTTTGGTACATTTAATATACATCTTCCACTTAAAATCCTACCTATAAGCCAAAAGGCTTTCTTAATTGTCAATAATTTCCTGTTTATTGTAACCTCTGTCTTTAGAATATAATAATTAATACCAATGTCATTGTATCTTATTAAGGTACTTGTTGCACAATTAGAAATCCCAACCTGCAAAGATAGCACAGCACATAATAACAGTGCCCTGTGTTGGTCATTGGTAAACATTAATCCAAAGGATCCAACAATATAGGCACAGGTGACTGAGTCAAAAGTTTATTGTACACTGTGGAGTTGTTTTTTAAAGCTCCATCAAACAGCTTAATGCTAAATGATAGCTTAGATGAAGCATAGAAAATAAGGAAAGCTATATGAGATAAAATCAAGATAAACCAACATATATATTTGTTGGTCTGTGGATTGACATCTTGCTCAAATATTTGTTATCTTGCTCATTGTTAAAAAATATGCAGTGCCACTGCCATGTTACATAATAGCGCCTGTATGAATTCGATACAATTTCGGACACATTTCATCGTTAGTCCTCGACTGGGCTTTCAAGGTAAAGTGTTGCAACTCTTTTTTCAGTTGAAATCTCTGGGTTTTCAGAGAGTAGGGACTGTAAATTTTGCTCTGAGCTCTCATCACTATGGTCACCCTGCACCTCCATCTTAACGGCAAAAGACTTTTCTGATGGTTCTAGTTTGACGTGTTTCTCAATTACATTAGATGCAGATTCCCCAATTCCAGAAATGATCTCAAAACCATCATCATAAGCAATACCCCTGTCGTCTGAAACTCTAATACTATACCCTGACTCTGCTCCTCCTTGGAAGGCCTTTTCAAGATCCAGATTTGAAGATTTGAGAGCTTGCATTATCTGCTCTTCAGAAATATCGTCTCCTTCCTCCAGTAGCCCAGAGGCTTCTAGGGATTGGGTGACATTTAGCTCTGCAACAATGGTCATGGTTCCATTGTCAGTTGATTGCTCAACTTTTTTAATTGCTACATTTTGTGGATTTTCATTGCTCAATTTTGTTAGGAAAGCCAACTCTTCCCTCAAAGGACCAGAAACTGAGGTCTGTAGGGTCTCCAAGGCTCCCTTCAGCTGCTGTTTGGGCTCCAAGGAGTCCTCTCTTAGGAACTCAAGCACAGATTCTTGCACTACAGGCGAAACCCGAACCTCTTCTTCAATGATGCATTCTGGAAAGCTATCTATGGGGAATGCACGATCACTTGACTTGTACTTATATTCATCACTTTCCTCTACAATCACTCTTCTCTGGGGAGGACTTTCATCTTGATAATACCTCTCATCTGACAAATCATCTACAACGCCATAATGTCCATAAGACATTATTCCTCCACCTTCCTCCGGTTCAGAAAGGTTTTCATCTGGTGTGGACACAAAGTATTCATGAAACCCTTGCTCCTGGGGGATAGGAGAAGATTCACTTTCTCTAGACAGCTCCTGAACTTGTACAGATGCTCTGCTCAACTGATCTGTGCCTTTTTCAGCAGACATTATGCCATTATCTTCATTCTTTTCTTCTTTAGGGTTGTGAGTTATATTTTCCATCTCCTCAATTTGGAAATATGTTGGCTCATAAAAACTTGATTTGCTCTTTCTTTCTACCTCAAGCTCTTCATCATTCAAAGACATAATAGGTTCCTCTATAACTTCCACATTGACTGACTTATTTTCCAAGTTTTCTCCTCCTTGAAGGTTACTTAGAAGGTTTTTAATCATGTTTCCCGTTGCTGTATCTTCGATGTCTTCCAGGGATATCTTCTTCACACCCTGGTTCAGGAGTTCCTCAAGGGCAGAGTCTTTCGAAACATCCATCTCTTCTTCAACTTTGGACTCAAGCACAATCTGGGTTCTGGTTGTGCCATCTTCCTGCTCACTTTTCTCCACGTGATACGTGACCTTAGAGTCCCCCGATGAGCATATCTTAGCTTCTAAACCTGCAGGTTTGATCACTTTCTCAATAATCTCCTCAACAGATACGGAATCCAGTACCTTTTTTTCTGTGAATTCAACTGTAGGCTCTGCCTTCCCTTTGTCTCTGGACTCATCTTGAGTGTGACCTTTCTCTTTCTCATCTGACATGTGTCGTTTGGTTTCTGGGACAATTTGGGTGATGGGGCTTTTTGGAGGGGGTGATAACACTCTTACCGACTTTGTCTCCTGTGTAAATTTGGGTTTGCTTCCATCAGGGACCTTGTTAAATCTCATAGTTTTCTCATCTGTAACTGTTTTCTCTCTAACCTCAATTTTGGTTGTTGTAGGAGGTGTAGAAGCAGCAGCCCGGGCTTTGTTGAATGATACCATATCTCTTCTGGATGCTGGACTTTGATGGCGAGCCCTTTCTGCAACTGAAATGGGAATGACCCTAGAGGGACTTAAAGATCCAGAGGTGGGCACAGGTGGTCTTCTTAGGTTTGTTGGTGATGTATACCGCATATCTACATGTCTTCTTGAAGATAAGATTGAAGCTCTTGGAGTATATGACTGACCAGGCACCTTGATATCTAAGCCAGATAAGAAATAACTGTAAGTAATAATGTCAATAATTCCTGCATCATTAATTTGTGCACATAGTCTTATTTATCCTGACAGTAATACATTAAATTGTTATTCAGAAATGCTTCACATTACAATACCTATAATTCTTTCTCTTTGATGTTGAGTCATCCTCCTGTGAGCATCTTGCAGACCAACTCTTTCACTTTCCAGGAGTGCCCTGAACAAAGACAAGAATAAATGTCTTACGTTGATGCAAATTATATCAGTCAGGGATGCCAAGCTGTTCCTCATAGTATTAGAAAAACTCGAAATGAAATACCTCACAAAGCGATGCACATCATTTAGGTCTGCCATTTCATCCCCCTCAAACAGAATTCAAGACTTTACACGATGGCTTGTATCCTCAACCTGACCATATATGGTAGTAATCATGAAATTATGTTAAGCCAACACCTTAAAAAACAAAGACCTACTGTATTTAGCTGAAACAGCTCACCTTTCCTTGACCATGTCTAAGCAGACAAGCAAATCAAAGGGCCTCTGAAAAGTACAACCTTTCCGGAGCTCGCCTTTCAATAGACTGACCTAAAAATAACGACACAATGTTGGGCTGTCCATGCTCTTCCCTATAAATCTCAACTGCAATAGCTGACTTGTGACCTTTACAAAAACACATGCTGCTGCTGCTTCATTGCTAAGGGAGCATCCTGTGTTATCCAAGTATTTCAAACAAACTAGATTTGCCAGCTAAGATCCATATAAAGTCACACTGACTGAGGAGAGTGAGTGTAATCATTAAAGTTAGTGCTGATCACATGGCAATGTTATATACTGTAAACTTGCCCAGACTTACAAACAGAGAACATCTGAACAATAGAATCTAATATCTATAGAAAACACACACCAGACTTTTTCTTAGGTATGGTTATTCTACTGCTTGTTAAGATAGAAAAGCTTAACACTGTTAACATGGCAGCAGCTTATGATTTTGGCATCTAAATGTGGTGAAGATGAATATAATTTCAAGCATCACATAAACTTTAAATTAACTGTTCACAATCAAAGTACTCTAAATATAATTTCATATCACATCACACATTAAATCATGAAACAGATAGCATGCAGCAGCAAAAAAGTGCATTGGATGGCAATCCTGTCGGTTAAGAAATGGAGACTGAGGCTGCAATTTTCACCAAAACAATACCCGATTAAGTCTCAATTTCAGCTCAGACCAGTGACGTGCATGGGGGGCAGGGGGTCGAGGTGGCGGTAACCCCCCCTTTGTGGGCAAATTGTTGAAAATTGCAATGCCAAAGAGCCTTCCAAGGAACTTTTTGCCCCTGTCCTTCAATAAGTCTGTGCAAGCCACTGGCTAACACAGCTGGTTGGGTCAGCACTTGGATTATCGTGTGTGAGATGTTAACTTTGCAGATTAAAGCCCCTTATTGCCAGTTGAGGAATAATTCAAAACTCTGCTGTATTTTTGAATTCTGTTGCGCCACATAAGAAAGCTTAAATCATTGTAAACTTTTCTATGAAGTACAAAAAAAGGGTAACTTCATTCCATTGCCCTTCAGATAAGGCAAATGAAAATGAACTAGATCTCATTTCAAAGGTCCACCCTTTGGTTGTGATGGAATGAGACATCTGCATCATGACTAACCAGCTGGCTGTTTTGACATATTTAATATAAAACAGCTTCTGGAATCTCTTTAAAACCTGGTTCAATTTATTCCAAAAAAGTAAAAAAAATAAAAAATAAAAAAAGCCTTAAGCCTGAAACTCAGTGTTACTCAAGACATTTTTAAATGAGAAAGCTTTCTGGATGGGAAGCAAAACATCTTCAAACTTGGAATTCAAAGTCGAGTGGTTTATTTTTTTTACTTTTTTGGAATGACTACAGCCTAGATGACTGAGAATATTCACCAGCAAGATTGTTCAATTTCCTGAACAAAAAATCAAGGAAGTTCTTAAGGAGACAAGAGGTCCAAAGATGTACCTTTAAGATGTTGTTGAGTAAAGATGTAAGGAATCGTGTGTAAAGTGGCTAGCAATTAATAAAGGAAAATCCAGAAATATATTGTTAAAGATATGTGTATACAAAATATGTATGCCGCATAGAAACAAGCAAATAAATAGCGACAATTTTGATGAAGTTTCAAATGTTGGATTGAGGATCTACCATCTATTTCAGCAGCCCAGATGTGTGCTGTCAATAGTAATAACCTTTATCTGTCAACGTAATTATGTGTGATAATTAAATTAGTGCTTTGCATTAAACCTTTCCTTGGGGATGTAGTGAATAGCTCGGAGCATTGTGGATCAAGGATCTTGCTCTGGGACCCTGAGCGACAGTGTGAGGTTGGAGCTGCAAATTGAAGGGATACAATTCAACTGTTGACAGCCAAAGAACCATGTAAACACATATTCTGACACCCAAGGGCAATTCTGATTCACCAAATGAAGCCAAACATTGAACTGGCCAGGAAACACACACAAAAAAAGGTCTGCACAAGATGAGTTTCTTTCTAGCTTTTAAGCAATGGTTTTAGCTTCTCATGCAATATGCAGCCCTCTTCGGGTCATCTGTTTATGCCAGCCTGAAACATCTCTGGTCAATAGAGTGTGAAAAACACATTTTCACGAAGTTAGCGATAAAAACTAAACTTGCTATCTTGGCCTGGTGGTTAGAGCAGTGCGCTTGTGCTCTGAGAAGGTTGCAAGTACCTGGTTCCATCCCTACAGCCAGCACTCTGGGTCCCTGAGCAAAACCCTTAACCCCATCTGCTCCCTGGGCGCCACATAATGAAGCCCACTGCTCCCCAAGGGGTTGGGTTAAATGCAGAGAGTTAATTTAATTGATTATGACAGTGTAATGACAAAAAGTTTAATTCTATTCTTATATAAAGTATTATTTGATTTGAATAATCTTACCTGAAGGTGTCATATTTCTTGAGCCACCGCTTCAATTTGACAAAGAATATAGGTTTTGTTTTGAATAAAGATCACATTACTCATCCCCTTTGAAAAAATAACCAGCTTAAATCAATTTTAATTACATTTTAAGTAGCTATATTTGCTCTGTGTGCTGCTGCTGTACATGCCTGCAAAGTGCTGCTGTACTGTCAACGCCTGCTAGAGTTTCTGCATGTAGGACAGACCTACTCAAGAATCTGTTATTTCAATTGGTGAAATGCTGCAACAGTAAAATGAAGAAACCACGCTATTTACATAAAGTTTTTATTTGTTTCAAATGTTAGAAAAAAAGGAAAACTTCTATCACCTGTATGCTGCAACCTCAACGCCCAGATCCATCTTTACTTGGAGAAGGTGTTGATGTTCCCTCATTTTGTCTTCCATTGCCTCAGCCAGCATGTTCCTCTCATGCTCCAGTTGCTGGATAATCATCTGAAGGAGAGAAAAGTAATATTTCAGTAAGTAATTTTGTATCGTTGTTGACATCCTTTGTTTTTCTGCATTGCAGCGTAGTTAATGCAAAAAATAACACAAGTGTTCTTCATCCAAAAGGTGAGAGGTTAAAGTTTTTTATCCTACTTTTGTTAAACTGTAAATTGAAATTGTATTCATTTATGTAATTCTGTACACTACTTCCGTTTTAGCCTCCAACACATTGGAGGATTTGTCAGTCTGACAGCTAATTGGTTTAAGTGGCTCAAGTCATTTAGCAACTGTTCAGAGCTTGGGAAGTGGATTGTCTCACAGCCTTTTAAGCTTTGACCAAGGTTAAATGTTGCATACCAGATCCATGCTTTTTGCAGATATTCAAACTCAACTCCAATTTTACAAACTGAAGCATATGTTTATCTTTTATTCTGCTATTATTTAGGTGTGATACAATTATTTTGAAATTATTAAAGAGTCACGCTGATGTATAATTTATTTGTATGTAGCAGCCACTGAAAGCTGCAGCTGCATCAGAGCTATAATGGGCTGTGGGTGTGGCTGGGGAGAAAGGGACCGTGCAGCCTCACCCCTCTCCAATGGCTCATCATGATATTCAGCAGCTTGTTTAGTTTGTGAATAATTATTTTAGAGTTTTAACAATTGCTTCATTGTGTTGATAACGTTTTTTACACAGATTTGAATCAGCCCCCTCACCTGATGTTCACTTAAATCCACTCGGAATTTCTCTTGCATGTGCATGAGCTGCTCTTCCAGACGCATTTGAACCTGGCTCTGTTTTTCCGCCTCTGTGCGCAGTTTGCCCAGCTCGGACGCATACAGCATCTTCTCCTTTTTCAGGTCGCACAGCCTCGCCTGGTCCTCTTTGATCGACTTCTCCATTTCTTCTACTTTTTTCTGGTACATTTCAAACGTCTCTATCCATCCCTCGGACAGACCGCGCGCGTACTCCTGCACCTCTTCCACGGACACCGCCGGGAGGCCTGGATAAGTTTGCGTAATGATGGGCACCACCCGGGACTCCACTTGCTGCCGTAGCTGGGCCGCCTCCTGCCTGCGCGCCTCCTCTAAGCGCTTGTATTCGCTCTCCAGTTGAAGGAGCCGCTGCTGCAGCTCCATGTTTATTTTGTGCGTCTGCTGCAGCTCGTGCTCGCAGCCCCGCAGCTCTCCGCTGATGTCTCTGCACGCCGCGGTCTGTTCGCTGCACAGAGACTGGGCTCCCTGTAACTCACGCCATAGCTTCTCCCTCTCCATCTCTGCCTGGGACTTCTCGAAGGAGATCTGCTCCATCATCCTTCTGAGCTCCTTCATCTCCGCCTTGTATCTCTGCTCCCAGTCCGACGTTGCGCTGCCGCGTCTCAGTTTATTAATTTCAGCTATAAGATTCGCGTTTTCTTGCTCCAGCTGTTTGGTTCTGGACAGATATTGAGCAAGTCTGCTGTTCAGCTCATGCAGTTGATGTTTTTCGCTCTCAAAAGTTCTCTTGAAAGGAAGCATTTTGATCTGTGGTAATTAATAAAATCAGATAAAAAAAAAAATCGGGCTTAATAATAATTCGGATTGTCCAAAAGGGTTGTTTGAGTGTGCGTCGGTGGGCTAAAGTGTAGAGCAATTTGTTTTCGGTGCCCTTTGACAAGTGCAGGGGGAGGAGGGCGGGTCCTGAACGCATCACAGTAACTGGAACGTCCCAAGCTTGGGCTGTGGCCATGGCAGATGATCTGCTGCATTCAGGTGCAGTCAGAAACGTGCAGAATAGGCCTACTTTAGGAGCGTTTTAAATAGCATCGAAGTATGCATGTTGTTATAGGTTGATTGTATTTTTATTTGCATCCGTCCAATCAGTGCATACCCCCTTTATGTTTTTATGTTACTGCCAGATCACTTACAATTGATATTTAAATTGTCAAAGAGTCAGATACACTTTGACACTTTAAAATCAAATTTTCTTTACTAATTTGTTTTGAGGGTCATGCAAGGTTTTCCTTTTTATTTTTGCAAATTTTTAAACAAATTCTCATACCTGAACATTTCAGAGAAATATGTTGGAGCTATTCAAGGAAACTCTGAAACAAATCTCATAAGGTGGTCTTCAACAGGGGGTCCGCGACCCCCGAAAGGTCAACAGAGGTACTGCATGGGGGTCACAAAAGATTTGGTTGATTAGACTTTTTTATATTTCCCCCGTGCAAATGTTTACACTAAGTGAAATGTCTTTAAATCCACATTAACATGAATTCAACACACTGTAGTAAACACATAAATGGAGGTAGAAGATGTCTTTCAGTCATCAATGCACATTCAGCGACACACAGGAGCTCTTTTAAGCCGGGCACCGTTTCATTCACAACACCTGTCCCATCAACCAGGAATCAGAATCAGAAATACTTTAATAATCCCAGGGAGAAATTACTTTTGTTACATTACTCCATATGTAATAGAGTGACTATAGGACCAGTTTGATATAACACAATTTCATACTATATTTATTTTAACCAGTCCAGAGCTGTACCAGAAGTGTCGACACGGTTTTCCAAGTTCTTTAATAAAAATTGAGTGAACAACAGTGTAGAATGCTGCACTAAGGTAATACCAGCACTGTGGTTCTTTCATAGTCTGAATTTACACAGATGTTATATAACACCTTAATAAGGACAGTCTCTACTGTGGTGAGCACGAAAACCTGACTAGAAGACATCAGAGTTGCTGGTCATTGTTAGGAAGGTGTTTATCTGTTGGAACTGAGCTTCTTCCATCATCTTACTGGTGTGGGAGATTTGAGAGGGGCCTTTAATTCTGCAGTAGTAGCTTGTCCAAGGATCTGGGGTAAAACAACTGACAAAAGGGATGAGAACAACATTTAAATTAAACACGATGTTATCAAAGAAAGAGCATTCTTAACTCTTTATAGGGTGAATTAACAGGATTAGCAGTGAAATACTTTGAAAATCAAAATTTCAAGCCAATACTGTTGTTGGAATCCAGGACAAGTCCTTTGTAACATTAAAAAATATTGATATTTTGATGGCAAATATTTATGTCAATGTAATAAAAAGAAACGCCAACTTGTCCGAACATATTAAGAAAAATAACAACAGTGCATCTATAAGAAATTCATGAAAAACATTCTGAGTGAAAGAAACAATTTTTTTTTTGGTCCAACATAACCTTTGAGGCATTAATGCTGGTACGGGCACTTACATTTTTTAGTTTATAAAGCTAAATATAATTGTTAACTATGCGTATTAACTTTTGAACTTTACTTTTTAAATTTACAATTAGCTTTTTACCTTTTTTTTTGACTTGTTAACTATTTTACAACTTATTTTACATTAGGTAGGGTTAAGGACGGCTGTGGGTAAAACCGCAAGACAGCAGAGGGAAGAGCTTAGTTGGCATAAGATTTCTGCCTGATTTTGTGATGTATTTGATCAAATTAAAAAATGTTGTCAAGATCAGTTCTAGTTAGAAATAAACTTGATACTGGGATGGTACTGGCGCTCTAATCTTTTGGGTTTTTCCAGTACAAAGGAATTTGTGCCAGGCCTTAGTAGAGTGGAGTTCAGATGCAAAAACAGGGTTGTTTGTTAACCTGTTAATAAAACCAAATAAGACATGAGCATGGTTAATATTTTTGCTGACAATCTCAGAGAAGAAAGACTATCTTTTATTTTTCAGTTGTAAGCTATATCTGTGAAGTATCTCTTTATAGATGGGGTCCATACATTTGGCATCTGCGTTCAGCTTTTAAACACACATTTTCACACACAGTTTTCTCATAGTGTCTCTTTAGCAAAGTGAGTCATTGGAAATTATGCTAGAGTAACAGAAAAGTGTTCGGATAATAGAGTAACATCATTTACAGACAAAGTACAGACAGGGTTTTAAGAGATGAAAGAGGAGGACATGAAGGCAGCACCCTGCTACCCTTTAGTTATTTTAAACGGGGGCTCCCCCTTGCGGACAAGCAGTACATTACAAGAGGTAAACCAGTGATTTTCTTTGTTTACTGCTACAGTAGTTTGCGGACGGATTATGAGTGGAAGGGAAACTGTTGTTGTCACAGGTAGAATTTATATTTGCCTTGCTTTGTTGTATTTAAACTGTTTAAATCATTTCAAAACGTGATCTGAATATGCCTTTAAGGGTTTGGACCCTTCAGACAGTTTTTGGTGAACCCCAGCTGGACAGCAGCCCAGGTAAGTTCTAAAGTATGGAAAGCAAACAACTGTTTGCCTCTCTGGTTAATGATAACTGTGTTTGATTTACCGCAGGGATTAAAGCTGGCCGGGTTGGGAGACAGCATCGACGTTTACATCAAGGAGCTGCCAGTTAGTTACAAGACAACTCAGGAGATTATTGCTAAACTCTGGCAGACTCTTAAACCAAAGGTAGAAGTAAGAGCTTTGTGGACTCATTAAAATAACTTACAGATGTCATAATGCAACATATCCTCATGCTGATTTATATAGGGTTCCATTTGCGACGAAAATATGCTCTTGTGTTGTGACATGTGCAGCACATGGATACAACATCTTTATCTCGCATACACACTACATATGCAGCTTGCATTATGTTAGATACACTCTTATAAAAGACATAATAATAATATACAATTTATAATTGAACTTTATCTCACATTAGAGAAATTTAGCTCTGTATTTAACCCATCGCCTTGAGGAGCAGTGGGCTGCCATCATGGGGCGCCCAGGGAGCAGTGTGGGGGTTAAGGGTCTTGCTCAGAGAGCCAGGGTGGCAGTCTGTAGGAGCGGGGCTCAAACTCTGATCCTCTGGATTTCAAGCTGTATGCCCTAACCACTAGACCGCCAATCCCCACATGGACATGTCTAAAGACACAAACATATTTTTGGCACATATATTCTCCTTTTGTTATGCTCTTAAGATTATCACAACATACCAATATATTTAAGACATGACATCACTGTTTTGTTACAGTAACTGTTAGGGGTGTAAATCACACCCATCATGGCGATTCGATTCAGTATCAATTTCCTGACCTAATGATTTGATTATTTTCGAGACCGTACTCAAGAATACACTACGATACGATTCAATTCGATTAATTGGTTAATTTCTTTTTGCCTTACAGGTTAGACAATGTTTCAAATTTGATATAAATCTATAAAAGTTGCAATATCGTTATGCTTTTTATTTGAGAAATAACAGTAGTAGCAAAGTTGTTCAAGGAGCAAAAGGATAAGAGACCGGAGGAAAAAAAAAAACATGAATTGATGCAGAGGTGTTGATGCATCGGATCGTCGGCTGTTGGATCGATGCATCGATACAAAACGATTATTATTTACACCCCTAGTATCTGTAGAGGTACTGCTTGCTCTTAAAACACAGTACTGATGTGTCTGCATGCATCTTCTTCCAGTTTGCTGTTCACCTGGGCATTGCAAGAGCCTCCAGTGTTATTATTTTGGAGCAAACTGGTAAGAACAGTGGATACTCGGACAGAGATGTATGCGGCTTCTTCCCTCCAGATTACCGCTGCATTGAAGGTGGGCCGGAAAAACTAGACTCTGTTGTCAATGTGAGGGCCATCTCTAAGCACTACAAGCAAGCAGGGATGGATGTCATTTATTCAAGAGACGCTGGCAGGTAGCCTTCCATATCCCCCTATCCATTAATCGACGGACCAATATTGTCATACTTTGTGTCTTCTTTTCAGATACCTGTGCGATTTTGCTTACTACTGCTCTCTGTATCACGGTGAGCGCAGAGCTGCCTTCATCCATGTTCCCTCATCTGGGAGTTTAGCCTCAGCCGAGAGACTTGTACCTCTACTGCGAGAAATCATCGTCAAAATGCTCAAACAGCTGGAAGATCACTAACATCAACCCCTCCAACTCTGACCACCTTTCCTAGATGCTGCTGAAGACATCCATTCCCACCAGGTGCTGCCACCGCCATGGTTTCTCAACAGAGTTGCATTTCTGTTCTGTAATAATAGGTTAAACATTCATTTAGGTCTAATCTTAAAATATCACATCTATGCTCTGGTTAACTGTGTTTCCCCTCTATGGCTTCATCAAACAGAACTAATTAGATTTCAACAGTATTTATTCTTAACTGTCTTTGTGACTCTCCTCCATAACAGTAAGGTTATCAAGCTCATAGATGATATACTCCTGTTGAAAGATTGAGTTGTGGTTATCTGCAGCTCCTCCAGAGTTGCTCCAGCTTTGGCCACTTCTCAAATAGTCGTCTCCTTAAGATGGACAGTATAGCTAGTGTGAATTTTAGTTTAACAATTTTCCTTCCCATTTTTCCAAATAATACCTGAAGAGTGCTACATTAAAATGTTCAAATACAACTTTATAAACATCTTAACTTTATCCCTGACCTGTCTGTTGAGTTCCTTGCTCTCTGCTATGCTTCGTGTTCTGGAACAAACATTGTAAAGAAAAGCTGCATTTAGACAGAGGAAATTACTCTGATTAATAAATATGTCTTTTAAAGAAATGTGTTGCACTTGGTTTTATTTAGGCTCATCAGAGTAAGAAGGAAATGCAAATGTGCAAAACCTTTCAGACTTTTATTTGTAACCATGATAGTGTTGGTAACATGACAGAATGGGAAAAAAAATCTCAAGGAAAAGTTGTACTTGTCAGAGAGCTGTATATGTTCCCATCACTTCAGCAGATAGACAGGTGATGTAAATAGACTGTAACATGTAGGAGTATAAAACGATTGAAAAGCTTCAGTCTCATTTACTTATTTATTCAAATTTTCAGAAAAAAGTAAAATACAAGGAATTCTCTTATACACATTTTGAGACAGCTTGTCAAAAATACACCATCTCAGCTATAAGTGTGAAAAAACTTTTGAGGCTTCAGATACAGAGCTTGAAAAGAAGACAGAGACTAGAGAACACAGTTTGATTATCTTCCCCCGATCAAGTTATGAAGACACAGATTTTTAATAAAAGAGTAGTGCCAGTAGAAGACCAAGGCCCCGCTGAAGGTTTTAGGAATGCAGATGATAAAAAAACATAAAAAAAAAACAGACATGAGTGAATTGATGCACTTCCAACCTCATTATTGCAGGACAATGCTGTGATGCATCTCCATAAACTTGAACCTTTTATGAAGAACTGAAAAAATGTCTGAGAGTTATTAGGCTTGAAGTCTACAAGAAAAAAACAGGAGTGACTTTTGAAATCTTGGTTTATCTTTTTCTAACTAAATTGTCTACATGTTAACTGAAGTACCTGTAATATATATGTATGTATATGCAACATCCCTGACCTCCATGTGGCTAATGTAGGAAATGTTACAGGTTTGGGATCTAATAACTGGTAGCTCATTGGTCAGTAGATCGTTGAAGGCTATGAGCTGAAAAATTAGAATAATTGACGATTCTGCACAAAAATGAACACAGATATGTTACCTTCTTGAACGTTTTTGCTCGACGGTGGTGGCTTTTGAATTCAGCAGCAATCTGGCTCTTATTAAAAAAGATAATTCGGTTGCATGATTAAGAGGAATGAGCACCAAACCTTAATACAAAAAGTTATCTTTATCTAACTCATAGCTATATATATATAAATATATATATATATATATATATATATATATATACAGCTATGGTGGAGGCTTTATAAGAGGTTTTGAGGTGTTTCAACGACTTTGCTCACTTGTACAGATATCATTGTTTGTGATGCTGTGAGATTCTCTGTGGTGACTGAAATGGCAGCACTAAAACGTGGGGTATATAAATAGATTTGAAATACATCCCGTCCATTTAGGTACTTGCTTTTTTATGTAAAACTTGAGGACATTATAAACCATTTCAGATCCTTTTCCACCTTTAAAATAAAGCATAATATACAATTATTTAAACAAAGTAAAATCTTTAAGAAGGGGAATGGAAACCAAAAATGTTGCGGTTAAATAAGTCTGCTCGTTATTTTAAGACTGGGGTCACAGAGTGGCAAGCTGGGAGCCATTTCTTAAAAAGAAAAGTATCCAAACTGGGGAAAAAAGAAACATTTAGAAGTTTCCCTAAAGCATGGCATGAAAAAGGTGATATGGTCCAACAAAACCAAGGTTGAACGTTTTGGTCATGTTTCCCAAAGGTGTTTGGTGCAATATAAAAAAAAAAAAAAAACAAAAAAACATTGCACATAAGTTAAAGCGCATGAAACACACAGTGAAGCATGGTGATGGTAGCATCATGCCTTGGGAATTTTGCTCCCAGATGGAAATTTGCCTCCCAGACAAGGTTCAATGTTCCAAATCGTTACGGTCTCTTTTGCAAATCCAAAGCTAAGATGCCCTAGACCTTTCTTCACAACAGCCCAAAGCTTGCAGTAAAGTCAACATAAGAACGGCTTCATGTCTAAAAGATGCCATCCCAGACAAATCTGTGATGCCCCCTGAGAAGAGCCGCGTAGACCAGATGATATTGTGCTTTTATAAAGAAGAAAGACAAATATTACAATGTCAAAATGTGGAAGCTGAATGACTCCTACATAAAAAGATAAATAGGGCTATTATAAAATCCAAAGTTAGTTTAGCGTAGTAGTTCAATAGGAATATACTCATGCAACATCATCATTTTAGGTTTGATTCCTTGTATTTCCTCATAAAGATTAAAAATTTTCTTCATGCTGCATTAAAGGGGGATTTGAGTTCTGAAATGGTTCATCTTGGTCTAAATCTTTAACATCCCATAAACCTGACATTTTATCATGGCTTCTTGAATTGTAATATCCATTGTAAATGCTAAAATATTCACACTAGTAAGCAAGAAACGCACATTGACACAAGTGGGTGGAACATTTCTAATCGAAAAATGACAATCAGAAAACTACATGCAGTTTACACAAAAGATAAAACTAAATAGTGGCTTTTTTAGTTGTTTGCCACTTTTGATTAAAAGATTAAAGATTTCTTGATTCTTGCTGAAGGTAGAAACGTGTACAAGGTGAGATTTACAATTTTCTTAGATACTTTGTGTGAAAACTACATGTCTGTCCCTGTTACATTCACAACACTGATCAATTCTTCACTAAGAAACTAAATGCTGTAGATTTTTGGATTTGAAAAAAAGTAAAACCGCATATATATGTGGAGTTTTCTATTATCCTTGGAGGTAAATAATTATTTTCCCTTTCTTTATTATTCCCATTTTATCTTATTAGATTTCTTTATAAATAAATTTTGGATAAGAATCTAATGTTTGTGGTTTGAGGATTTGAAGGTTGTGACAATAGGCTGGGACGTTGTGGAGAAGGAATGTTTGGCTTTGATTTATCACATCCTGTTTATGATCAAGCTGCAAACAGTGCAGCTCCATCAGGTCAAATATGAGTTGACGCTGAACGAACGAAAGCGAAAGGAAAACCGCAGTGCAAACTGAACATATATTATTCATTTTGTCCCAAATCTGAGGCAGGAAGTCGTTTTTTTTTTTTTTTTTTGTAAAACACTTTGTGTGCAAATTTATTGGCCAAACTGATTCCACCTTCTGTCCTAGTCCATGTTTTTAAACGTTTCTCTAGATTCCTGTTTGTTTTATTTAGTTAGTTGAGGTTTCTCCTAAAATTTTAAATAGTGAGATGCATTTCTTTTGTATATAGACAAAGTTACAAAGAGTGAGGTAGATATATGCCTGAATGGAGAAAAAAACAAAACAAAAATACCCTTGTCATGACACCAAGGAAAATGCATACATGAAATCATTAGTATAATAAACCAAATTTGTACTTACTTATGGGGCATTTTTTACAGTGATTTTTACTGGTATTCAAAAGGAAAACACAATAATAAAATAAATAAATAAACACTCCTACAAGGAAAATACGGTAAAAACAAAAAACAAAAACAGAAATCACCAGGCAACATTAGAGATCCTTCAAAACACACTTTTCCTTTCAGCCATATTAAGACCTTTATTTTTTTAATCTGTGACACTAATTTTTTTTCTTTTCCATGTACCCTAACTGATCCTGTATTTGGCTTTCAGATGAAGGTTTTGAAATATTTTCATGATTTGATATAAGCAGAAGTGGATTTGTTTTGTGCTTGACAGGACAAAATAGTGATAGGGGACTTTAAATGCTAAGAATATGATTGGCATGATTAAGGCAAACAAGAGAACCACGTGAGCCCTATTAACAGGTGAACAGGAATCGGATGGATGGGTTCACAAGACCAGGTCTGGTCTAAAGTATCTCGCAAGTCAGAGCTAATGCTGACTTCAACAGATAAACAGGTTTGGTGAGTTGTAGACTGGAACACATTGAAGGGTAAAGAAAAAACTCACAGATGAGAGTCGCTGTAAAGGAGCAGGCAAAAGGTGAGCCAAGTAAGGGAAAGGAAAATGTTTGGAGAAAGCAAAGCCTTTACTTTAACCTGAGATTAAAATGCGCCTAGGGGGCAACACTAGGCACAGTGCTAAACAATAACATAAAAAGAGGGTGCAGAAGTACAAGCTCACACATCGAGCTAAAATGTTCATCACTAATAATAATAAAACAACAATAATATTTATAATAATAATAGAAGTTGACAAAAAACTAGAGAAATAATCATTTCATAAAAACAAAAGGCAATGAATGAAATTTTGTTTTACTCAAAATCTTGAGGGGTTAACTTTTATTTTTTGATTTAACTAGAGCTTAAAGATATAAAAAGGGACTGCTGTGGGGGATCATAAAATAGCAAACCTGAAGGATTTCTTTATATATAGATATATTTATATATATATAACATCCAAAAAGAGAAAAATAATAAAATAGCAGCTTTGTTCTGTACAGACATAGAGGCAAACATTTTTAAAAGTATAAAAAAAAAAGTATTTTGTTTTTTTTCTTTAGTGACAAAAATCATTGATGTGTATAAAAATTATCCTGGAGTCCAAAATGCAACTATAAGACCTTTTACATGTGTTTGAAATGCAAGAGATACCATTAATGCTAACTTTTAGAGGCCTGAAAGTCCTCTGGGTTACTAAATTTGACCCATCAGCTTCTTGATTGAAGTCTCTAATTTGGACCTGAAAAGTGTCCTTTTTTATATGTTCGAGGAAGTTAAAGCAATTTTTATTGCCAGATACTGAGAATCTGGGATTTGCTTTTATTTATTTTTTTCTAAGGAAGAGACTGATGCTGTACTTCAGAGTTGTTTTTTTATGAAATTGAGAAAAAGATTTTATGAGGTGGAACAAATTTTCAGTAATTGTAATAAAATGAATACAATACCATAATTTTTAAATTGTGTATTAATCGAAATACTAGAAGAACTTTCGGTCAGTTTAATACCAAGAAATGCACGAGATTCTGTTGGGTTGGATTTGCATCTGTACTTTGTTGCTTTGTTATATTTGTTTGTTTCATTCTTGCAAAATCAAATGCTAAAACCTGCATCAAACAAAGCAATGTGAAAGCAGTCATGTATTTTGATGTAATACTTCATACTATGCTGTGTAATGCTTGCTTACAACTAATGGAGCAGGTTATCCATGTCACAAGGATAGCATTTTGAGCCCCTTCCTTTTTATGTTCAATTCTAAAAAAAATACACCAAGCTGGGTATTTCTTTTACATTACTGAATCTAGCAATAGCCTTTTTGGGGGCTCGTCCAGGATCATAAACTTTCCGAACTAAGTACTTTCTTGTTACGTTTTATCGGGTTCAAGCAACTGTATTTTAGGCTTTAGAGTGAAAAAAAAAATATATATAATTTTTTTTTTACATCACCCCCTTCCCACCCTTCTGGGAAAAAAAAATGTAGCATTCAGTCTGCAAGTTTACACAGAAGAAAAAAAAAAAAACAGCCCAACAAGAATTCCAGTGTTAAGTGGCAGATGTTAAATTAATAAAGACCTGGTTATAAGGGAAAACAGAAGTGAGAAACTTTAAACAAGCACTTTTTCCCTGTGTCACCACTGACAAGGAAACTAAAAGCTAATTGCCACAAATTTCTCAGGTTTTGTGTAAGCTACATACCAACTGATGTTCTTATAAAAAATGAGAAATAGGGAGCAACAGCACAAATGCCAACAAAGATACCAGTCCACAATACAGAGCTAGTTATCACTTTCTATGTGCTATGTAGCAAAACAATCAGTAGTTCTATGACAAAGAAATCCAACAGGTACAAATTTAGGATGATGCTCTCTCTCATTTTAATTACTGATGAAAAAGGCAGGGTTAGTAATCAAAGAAATGAAAAAAAATTTTTTTGTTTTGTTTGAGTCAGCCTTGAACTTATAACATTAAATGTTTTTTAATGAATACTTTTCTAATGGCTGGTCTGTGTCAATGTATTTCTGGTTTTGTTACCCTTATACCGGGTTAGCAGACTTTAATTCTTTTTGTGGATGTGTCTGGTAGTTAAAAGTTTTGCTATTTGATCATCTTTGAGTGATGACATGTTTTCTAGTCTAATTGTTGGTCGCAAGAATCTGTATTTTCAGCCGATTAGACCTGCGGTTTTGAAACTAGACGGGTGAAAAGTCACTTCAAATGTTTAATAATATGGAATGACATCCACGTCATGCTAAATCAGAGTTGTGGCTTGCCACCTTTAAATCTTTGGACTGGCTTCTGTTTGTGCAAATAAATGTGTTCTCTACCTTATAAATTTATTCCACCCCATACACAGTGATGACCGAGCATAATGTGGTACACCTTGGATTTAAATTTTACAAAAACATCCAAAATTCTGCGCCAAATACGGTTTTGTTATTGCAGTGAAAGATCTCAACTCTGAATCACAGTTTTTAGCAAAAAAAGGACACCTTTAGGAGACTGAAGAAAAAGTTTGATTTGGCAAAAGTTTGGCAGATAAAAAACAGGCTTACCAATTGAACCCACACCTCAAGGGATCACATAGAAATAATAGAATTTAAAAGAGTCTTATTTTCAAGGGAGGCATTGTCACATAACATGAACCCGGCTGCTTCATAAAAAAAAAATGAGCTCTGCCGTGTTATGGAGAGAATGATGGGATTCTACGAATAGATACTTAATATATTCATATCATCCTCTGTGAAATCCTCAGGACAAAAGTGCTCTTCTGTTGGTTTTGCTGGCAGATATGCTAAAAAGACTTTTCTTCTTGCTGTTCATGTATAGGTCTGTGTGCCAATATACATCCTTATGTTTTTTCCTTCTCGAAAGGGCTTGTATGTAACTATGCAGAAAGGAGTCCCCCAGTGTGTCTGAGCCACCAATCTCCCAGTGCCTCAGCAGGTTTCTGTGCTGTTTTACAGTTCTCAGAGTCTGTATTTCTTTCCACACCTGAAATATAGTGGAGAGCCCATCTACTGGCACACAGTAGAGAAAACGTAATTGTCTTACCTCATCAATCCTTTTTAAGAGAAAGTGAGGTTTCAGTTACCCTGTGTGAGAGGAAGAAGAGGTGCTGGACCAATATCAGCAGGCTGATGACTGGGGCAACGGTAACGCCCGCTCATTCTTTCTGCCTCCATTCATGTGTGCATATGGCTCCAACTCATCAAAGTTTGGCTGCAGGACCACCACAGGCCCATTGGCCAAAGCATGTTCTGAGTGCTTGTCTGAGCCGTGCCCTGAAGACGTCAAAGCTGTGGCCAGAGGGCCCGGTGGCGAATGGGACCCTAATAGGGGCGTACTTGGGCCTTGCAAGGGGGATAACTGCTGCGAGGGAGGAGGTGACCTGCTTCCCATGCACCCAGAAGGTGGAACGGCAGCAGTAGGCGGCTGCCTTGTAGATACAGGGTCCAGTGGAATGTTCTCCATGTTCTCCACCTCCATGTCAAGTTCCTCCATGTCCGGCGGTTTGTTCTCCTCACTGTAGAAGAAGCTTACTTCTCGGAAGTGGGGATCCAGATCGTCTTTGATGCTGTTGATGATCTCCTGGAAGGACGGACGCATCTTGGGGTTGTACTGCCAACACATCCTCATCAGCTCAAACCTGAGGGTAAGTTATTAACATCAAAATTATTTAAAGCATCAGCGTTTAAATTTTGAATTTTAAAGAACAAAAAACATATTTATTGTAATTCTTAAAGCTTTTATATTATTAAGAAAATAGTATTTCAGAAAGGAAAGCTTAATTAAATACAAAATTCAGTTTTCAAAGGATGATTTTAAAGCCTCTGTTAAAAAGAAAAATCATTAAGTTTGTTAAACGATTTCAGGATGCAGCAATTTATGCTTGGAAAATGGGATTCCTTAGCTCTTGTTAAGGAAAAACTTGCATTGCAACGGTTAATGGAGAGGCACATCACAGCCAGCATTGTAACACCATAACACTTCCTTTTACGACCAGCAGATGACAGGATAGACTCAAATTTTTTGCCTCTTTTGACATTTAAGCTCTATTCACTTATGTTTTTGGACTTTAAAGGTATAACACACAAAATATTAGAATTGTAAATAAAAGAATAACATTTTTGAGCTACACAAATAGGCTGAGCTGCAGTCTTTTTGTCTAATATTACATGGATGTAAGGTCGGAATGCAACAAGGATGTCAGATCACTTCTACACCTGTATTTTTTAAGTTGCCTAATAACTTAATATTGGTTAATAATGTCTCCTCTCCCCCCAAAATTTTAATGTACAACTGTGAACAAAGACTAATCTTTGAAACCTATTGAGAAACTCCCTCTAAATTGATGAATTTACTTTATGACTTTTTCAAAGATTAGAAATTTGCATGCTATGTAAAATGGACTCAGCTAAAATGCAGGTTACTGAGCCATGCCAGCAACCAAGCTTTGGGAATGTCAAAACAACACCATAAAAAGAGAGAATTATTACAGTTTTGTGTGGTTCTTCACCACATGCCACAACTTCAATTATACACAAACAAGCTAAGAATACTCTCTAAGGCTCACTGACATAAACACCTGAGCCATCTTGGGTTCCGTTACCGCTGTTCCCCCCTCAGTCTTGTTTTTCTTCTCTCCTTGAGGCCTCCTTGGCGTTCAGAATCAGTCCTGCAGCTAGATGCCAGCTGTTCTCCTCCCAGAGAAATCTGAGGGTTGCCTTAGTGCCAGTCTTACTTATCATTCTGGAGCAGCAGAGGAGGTGCTAACTTTTTTTTTGTTTGTCTGTTTTTTTAAATATTGCAAGAACTGTCCTAAAATTGATATATGTTCAAACCAACACAGCAGAGTTCTAATGAAAAGAAATCTAATACTTTCAGCTGTGCTGACACACCACAGTAACCCTCTGCTTTGCCAAACATCTGGTTTCCAGTACACTTGTTGATAATAATTACAAAACAGAATAAAGATCTGACTTCTTGTCAGTATCTAGTCATTCATTCTATCAATATAAGTTCACTTCTAACCTGTCCAAACTAGAGATGTGTTTTGATTGTATATGCCATGTTCATACAGCCTCAGCTAACCTATACTTTACTATTTACTTCCTTTAATGTTCTGTTTAGCTCTAGGCTAGTATCCATTACCATCCTGAAATCCCTCACCAAGGTTTATCAGCTCTCATCTGAACTGGTGTTACATTTCAGATGCTGGTCAAATAACACAGTAGAAGTGATGCATATTTGAAACTGCTGTCAACAATAAAATACTGAGGGTCTGATCTTTTCAGATTCCAACTATGCAACACTTTTTGCAAGTGCAATAAGAGGCTGTGTGGTGGGTTAAATCATCCCAAAAAAATCACGATATATATCAGGGATTGGTAAAATAGCTTTTATAATAACCTGTATCAATAAAAAAAAAAAAAAAAAAAAAAACTGTATAGGTTGATCTCTTGAAGGCACATGAATAATTATCACAACTATTTCTGCTCTCACTGTTATCATTTAGTTTAACATTATTTAGAACATCAAATAGCATTTTCCTACAAGGTTAAAGATTTTAGACAGAGAGGTCTTTGGCCATTCCTCTTTACATAGTAGCCGTTTTTCCATTAGAGATGTGCAAAAAACTATGTTGATTTTATGCTAAATTGGAATATGCAAAGTTCCATAACGCAGTATTTAAATAAAATAAATTAAAATTAAAATTGGGCATGTATATGTTCGTTCTCTCAGTGGTAAAAACATGAGATATATCCATATTTCAGCCACGGCTCTAGTGGGCGCCATCATCCTCCAACTACTTCCGGTCTTCTTCAGACTGCAGACTGCAGGTCAAGTCACTTGAGTGATGTGAAAAAAGGGAAAAACGTGTTTCCATTGCAGGAAATATAATCATTTCAATACGACTGGAAAAAAGCACCTCAACAAAGTTTTAACAGTTTTTATCGCAAAAATTTGATTCTTTTTTTTATTGAGGCGTTTCCATTTAGCACATTTAATTTCATAATTACAGTTTGGTCAATTTGATGGTCAATTAAAATACAACTTATGTCTCAAGTCCAATGTCTTTATACAGTATGTGCTCTCCTCTGTTCAGCTCAGCCCACAGATTTTATGCTATTTTTTAAAAGACAGATAGGCCCACTGCATCACAAATTGTCCAGCTTTCCCCACAATAGGCATGAGGTGCTTTTAATCCTCTTTCATGCCAAACTCACCTGGAATGTTTGTGGCAGAAAGCTTCATTTAGGCCCCACTTGACAAAATATCAAAGGGCAAATTAAAATCCCAGTAAAGTTCAGTAAACTGCATTAGGTAACGCTAGAACAGAAAATACTTTTTTTTCTAAGCATTGCTAAACAATTTATATGCATGTAGATCATATCTAACAGTTGATGCTGCAGCTCTGCAACAGCAAGCTTTGGGTTTGGAATACCCTGTATAAAATGTTGGATTTCTCTAAATACTGTAAATGCCAGGTTATGCTTATGCAATGTAAACTGTTTAATTTTAGGGCTTTTAGGTTATCTCCTAACAGAACTGCCATTAAATGTGACCAGCAAATTCCATATCTGAAAGAAACAGCTCTATTCTGTAGGGAAACTCTGTGACTCACATCTCCTTATTGAAAAGAGACATTGAAAAACATCGAAATATGACTCATCTTACTGTGTTCTTCCCCTTATTTCCACTTTGTGTTATCTCCTCTATTAACCAACTTTGTCGAAACTTCAGCAGTCTGCCTGAAGCTTCTTTAAATCTTCAGACCAAAGCCTGACTCCACTCAAAGTTGAAAAAAAATACTAAGCCCTTCCCCCTGCGTCACCTCTGTAACACAGTCCACACGCTCCTGTAATCAGGACAAAACTGTTGATGTTGCCATAGAAACCAGAGGTTTGTGCTCGCACAACACTGAGCCCTAATTTCTGTTCTGCTCACGCTCTTTTTAAGGTGAGGTCAGCCATGGGGAGCGGGACAAAGAATACCTTCTTATCAAGTCAAAGAAGGGCTACAGTATATGGAGCTCCACAGGATGAAAAATAATCTGCAATCATCAATATTTACATTTATAAATTATAAATATATTTAGCCCTTCTGATGTCCTTATTCTTGTTGCCTCGTTCCTCTATAACGATTCCCACAGTTGGATCGAGTGACATCTTTCACACAGGTTGCGGCATTCCTTCTATGGGCCGATATTGACGAGTGAGGAGGCTCCCCACCGCCAGCTGAACATTTTAGTCATGCAGTCAGGCGACTGCATTTAACCAGTGACGTTAATGTCAGCCCTCACCACAGTGTATGCACACAGTATCCCTTACCCTAACAGCTTAACCTAAAATAGCTGCGAGTTAAAATATTGAGCCCTCAGGAGAGGGTGCAGTTTATGGTTTTAATAACAAGACTTACAGCATGTCCGGGCAGTTGTCGGGCTTCTCCAGGAGTCCCCCTTCCATGACAAAGCGCAGCACTTGTTCATTGGACATGCCCTGGTAAGGCTGTTCAGCTAAGGTGGTGATCTCCCACAGCACAACACCAAATGACCTGCAGAATCGCAGCGGGAAAACAAAACAATGAAGCTGAAGGCTTTGATAATAGAGTCTAAATTGCAAATCATCAGAAAATTTTAAATTCTACAAAGCAAAAAAATTTAATTTCTTAAAATAAGTGCATTTCTTCTTGAATTGAGGAGGTTTGTGAGACTCTTTGTAAATAGAACATGACAATTTACATTTAAACAAAGAAAAAGAACAATGGCATTGTCTTATTTCATGCATATCATCTAGTTATTTTAATTTAAGAGTAAAAATACTCATTCCACTGGGAAACCATCTTATTTACCTACTTAAATTAAGGATAAATACACAATTTAAGAATTTCTTTTGCAGTGTATGATTAACATGAGCTTGAGAAGCATTGCAGTTCTCTACATTCTCATTAAAACTCACATACAGTAAAATGCTCTGACCTGTAGTGGGTGTTTTTGTTTGTTTTTATAATAGCAGAAATCTTTTAATCAAGGCAATCTGACAAACAGGCACAAACAAACCAGTCGTTGTTTCAAGCGGAGACAGTAGCTATTTCCTCTAGTTAAGATACTGATTACCCTCTAAACCAGTCATAAAGAGTTTTACTCAACTATTTATTAAAGCAAAATATATATTTTAAAATACAAAGCCATTGACCTTATGTATACTTGGAGCAAAGTTATTCCCATGTTTATCCTCACTCCTACATCAGTCACTGACTCAAGTATTCCTCCAAGGGTATCTAGTTTGCTTGATATAACGAGTCTACATGCATTACGTCATGATATTGACACTGTTGGTCTGAAGCCTGTTTGACATGTTGCAAACAAAATAAAGTGATATTCTCTGTTTGCGTCAGACAATCTGAGATACCTACAGGTCTGAAACATGTCAATAGGAAAGGATGAGGGAAAAACTCCAAGAAAAGCTTAAATATGGACTGTTCACAAAAAGTGTCATCAAAATACAAGGGTTTAATTTAATCTACTTTTTAAATTAATCATATATTTTTCATTTTACCCCTTTAAAATTTTGTATATTTGCAGTTCTGGTCATTCAGAACAAATAATTGGTCAATTTATTCCCACTAGTGGAAAATATTACAGTCATTCCATAAAATGCCCCATCTGCACAGTCCAGATATGTGGTTGTGTGACTCAAACAAATAGTATCTAACACCGTTTTGTTTCAGACTTACAATTATTATATTGTTTTTTCCTTTTTGTTGTGTAAGGATTATAATCTGCCTTATCATTATATGCCACAGTTTGAGAAACTAATGGAAACACAAGTAATATGCAGATTTAAGGACATTTTATACACTTAAATTCAATTATGCATAATATTGTGCAAAATTTGCCCTATTTGGCTCCATAATGCATGGAAAATAGAAATAAGAATAAACCAATGTCTACAGGCTGACATTTGGAGTACCACAGGATACTATTTTAGGTTGAATTGTGTTATTTAAAAAAAAAAAAACTTATTTCATGAAAGATATTTATCCCTTGTTTTAGTCTTTTTGAGTATGGTATTTACAAATCCTATTCTTTTATGCCCTTATATTTCAACAAATCAACTGTTAATCACTTGCTTGACTAGCTTAAGGCACTGATAGGGGGAAAACTGCCAACAACCTGGGTCTCACAAAAAAAGAAAACAATTACATTTTAGCAGGATTATGGCTGTTTTATGTTTTTCTTTGCGAATCTCTAGATTTATGTCGTTTCAACTTTTAGCATATTTCTGTGCTTTATTTTGCAAACACTGCGACTTTAAAAGGATATGTGCTATGTAAATAAATATACAAATTATTTAAAAAAAGCAAATGTTTTTGTTGGATAATATCTATTTACCCTTGATACATTTTTACAAAACTCCCTCTGATCAACTGGATTACAACACACAATGTGTTTGGGGAGGTTGGTTATTTTTCCTGATTAACACAGTGCTCATGAAGCCCATAATTGGTTCCTCTCACACTAAACATTAACATCAAAGAAACAGGATGTAGTACAGAAGATGGGAAGGTGGGTTTGTGGTGTAAAACCAAGCACTTATTTGTGAACATCTGGAGTAGTTTACACCCGCTTTCATAAACTAATCTGTGGGACACTTTTGAGTTGGGGTACAAAAACTTGCAGGGGAGCTAGTAAACTGACTGCTAAAAAGGTAGTGGAAAAATAGGAGATAGCTGTAGGCTCAAAAAAGCTAAGCAAGGAAGGAAAAAAGAAAATAACATTTTGTAGAGGGGAAGAAATTTACAAGAGGCGAGTCAGCAATCCAAATCTCCAAAAAAAGAAAATACAATTTAGTATTTGGAAATGCTATCTGTTTTGGCATGAAACTTATGTTCAAACTGTTGAGTGAAAACCTTGTAAAGAATCCTGGCTGTGAAATGATCTGTAGGTTTATACAGTTGTGACCCCACAGCATGAACGGGTTTAGAGCATTATCCAACACAAAGAGAAACTATGCGGGCAGTTTAAAGCCCCTGAATTGAAACAGGTTCATACATGTGTAATGTAGGCCTCTGTGTTTGTCTAAGTAGTGTGTTCACATACCAGACATCAGACATTGTAGTGAAGACGCCGTCTTTCAGCGACTCTGGGGACATCCATCGAACTGGCAGCAGGCCTTTCCCTCCTTTTCGATAGTAATCCGTCTCATAAATATCTCTGGTCATGCCAAAATCTGAAGGAAAAGAAAATGAAAACAGGTTGGGGGAGCCACTAAATATATCTAACTCTGTGTGGGAGAAGAAACTGCTCAAATTTTCCCAGTCAAATCCTTCTTGTTTATGTATCTAAAATCTGTTGCAGAGTCAATTTTATGCTACGTTTACACACCACCCTGAAACCCAAATCTGATTTTTTTTGCCCATATGCCATCAGTATCTGATCTTTTCATGGCAGTCTGAACAACAGATCGGATTTTTTCCAATGTGACCCAGGCCATTTGGCTAGGTTGTCCTGAATCTGATACAAATCTGATCTTTTCAAATGCAACCTGTGTGTGAACGACCAGGCCGCATTCATCTGACCTGAAGGTCATTAATACTCAACAAGTTTCACTATTCTGCAACTTTCTACGCAGAAGCGGGCAGAAAAATAACAACCATGTCGGACGATAATGCAGAGAGCAGTTTTTTTTTTTTTTACCATCTTAAAAAGATTGAGTTTCTAAGGTTAGGAAAGATCGCTACGCCAGCTCTAGCGCAACCATCCATGTTTACTTTCGTAAACACAGAGCACGCTTGCTTGTGACGTCACTGCGTCCTCTATTGCACATGCGGGACAATTAAGCTGTATAAATGCAGTTCACACAGGAAATCACATACAAGTCGCATATATTAGGAAATGTGAACGGCAGCGCAAAAAAAAAAAATTTGGATTTCACCAAGAAATCTGAATTAAGCATTAAGGCCTGCAGTGTGAACGTAGCCTTAGATAACCTGGAAGAGGAAGAACATATATAAAACTCACCTCCAATCTTCACTGTGAAATCCTCTGCTACCATGCAGTTTCTGGCAGCCAGGTCTCTATGGACAAACTTGTTGGCGTTAAGGTAAGCCATGCCATCTGCGATCTCGCCTGTCATCTGGATCATCTTCTTCAGAGGCGGCAACGTCTGAGAGTTGGTGTTCTGTTGCACAGGAAGATGAGAAGATTAAGATCCTTCATATGTTGTCCTCTACGCTTTTAAACAAATTGGTTTTATCCATTTAATCAGGCTGTTGTGTGAAACATTAAAAACATTTTATACATGGTCTTTTAGATCTTCAGAGCTCAGGATATTATTGAGAAAACCTCACTTTAAACTTGCACTTTAGCTTTATCGATTAAACATATATGCTCTAAAAAAATCAAATGGTGATTTTATTGTGGCAATATAACCAGGTGTGAATACTTGATGGGGGCTGTAAATGAACTAACATCACTGCAATAACAAAGTGATCAAAAATATTTATAAATCTCTTTATTTATTTCTCAATTTAAAGTTTACATTTAACGCATTTTCTGGAAAATGTGTTTGTATTTGAAACCGAGTTAAGTTATTTATCTAATTAAATCCCTTTTTTCTTAGTTAGATGACTTTTCATCTGTGTGGTTGGGACAACAGAGCCTGCTTTACACTGTGCCTTTATAAGTTTTGTCAAAGTGATGCATATTCAATTGCCCTGATTGAAGATTGAATTCGGGTTTATTATTAAAGCTATATTGCTAATTAAGTAAGGTATAAAATGTTTTATTCGGTATCGGTGGGCATGATGATCAAACTACACAAGCCATGGAAGGTAAATTTACAGAATCTAAATTTCAAACAAGTTGCTTGAGAATGTTGGCTTTATACAGTTATTATTGAGATGCAACGGAAAAATGTATTTAGAACAATTATTATTATTATTCATATGTATTTCATAATATCTTTTCATAATATAATTTTGGTTTTTGATCGTTACTCTGCATTTATATATGTTTTGTATTGAAGGAAGGAAGGAAGGAAGGAAGGAAATAGGTAAATACTTACTTCATTGCGCACAGAGCGCAAGTGACTCTTGAGATCTCCACGAGTCATCAGCTCCATGATAACCAAAGTAGGTTGTCCCTGAGAGACCACGCCCAGCAGCCGCACCTGCATTAATTAACATAGGAAATAAAACGGCTGAAAAAATGCAGAAAAATGATCAAGTTAAAGACTAAAAAGTGTGGTAATAAGCCCACTATTTTTAACTTGCTTTGAATATCAATAAAGTAAAAACAGACATGTAATTTAAAGAGATTTTAAGTATGGAGTGCTTCCCCTTTTATCAGTGAGATGACAGAAAACCTATAGGAGCAGATTTCTAAAAATGAGGATCTTTACAACTTCCATTAAAAGAAGTTAATAAGGCCAGGATTACACGGATGTGAGCATGTAAAGAATCCCCAGGAGGCACTGCCTTTATCTCAGGCTACAGCTGCCTGCATTAAAACCCCTCTGCTCTATTTGTGTATGTAAAAAAAAAATTAGAAAGTCTTGATAATGGTGAGCACTGCGTCATTTGGCGATCCATTATGAGGATATCTTTGCTGCTTAATCATAAATCCATCTTACCACATGATGACAGTTGAACTCTTTCATCACAGATGCCTCATTCAGAAACTCTATCCGCTCCCGCATGCTCGCCGACTCGTTCACCGTTTTGATCGCCACTCGTGTCTCAGGTTCGTCCTTGACTACGCCTTTCGCGGTGCCTTCGTACACCATGCCGAAAGAGCCCTGCCCCAGCTCCTTGTGCATGGTGATCTTTTCCCTGGCCACCTCCCACTCATCCGGAGTGTACACTACCGCAGCGAAAAACATACGCAGGGTCAACCCATCATGCTCAAACATCTAAACAGAACATCAGGGAGGTGGGAAAAGAGGTTTGACATTCTTACTCTCAGCTGCGCTGATGTACTCTGGGTTGACGGATGCATAGAGAACTCCATTCCCAAGTCTGTTGTTGTTCCTGAAAGCACAAGCCCAGCTTAGTAAACTGATAAGTAAGCTCTAGTTTCAGATGCAATATTTAGTCCTCAACAGGATGTCTCCTCTCCCCCAAAGGGGTGTCTAAATGAAAACACCCATTAACTCTAAATAACATTACACTCTCCATTAAGCTTCATGAGCATCGCAAAGTTAATCAGTGCAACTACTTGCCTCTTTTTGTTGATGAAGATGAGAACGGTGGTAAGACTGGCGATGAGAAGAGTCACTATGATGGGAACGAGGATGACCAAGTAGAGCGTCGCAAAATCCTCTCCTGGGAGAAAGAACCAGAAACAATAATTTACCGTAAGTGATAATTGATTCATCGTTAAAAGATTTTCCCTTTATTTCAGTAAAATAGAAAAGTAAATGCACAGTAGGAGCCAGTTTCTGAAATAATGTTTTACTCCTTGTGGAGAATGAACATTACCTGCATAACTGTAGGGTTTAACTTTTTCTTATCAAAAATCTATTTCGGTGGATCTTATTTTCTGAGGAACTGGCTTCTGGTTTTCAATTAGTGTTATGCTAAAACAATCATCTAAATTACAACTAAAACATGGCAAAGATATATAACTATGTAATTGGTATAAACATGTTTATGATTTTAATTTACTTAAATGAAATTAACTTTCTCAGTATTATCAACCACAGTGAGATGCATTAGCACATTTAAAGTCTCTCAACACAATTTAAACATGCGTTAGTGTTGCTTTACGTTTAGGTGGAGGAACGTAGAAGGAGATGCTTTCCGTCCATGAGCCGTTTCCTGCCAGAGATGTGGCCCTCACGCGAGCAGAGTAGTTTCCCGGGCTCAAGATGGTCAGACGAAATCCTTTATATTCGTGGTACTGCCGACGTGACACACACTTGTGTTTCTCAGGCTGGAAGAAAAGAAATAAACAGTGATTACTGCTGTTAAAACAAAGCTCAACTCGTTATAAGACTTTAAAGCTTTGATAACACTTTGCATGCAGAATATAATTTTGGTAATCTTTATTTCAAATAATATGCATTTATTTAGACTTATTTTATTCTCTTCTATGCAGAATTTAAAGGAGGACAAATTGTTGCCAAGTTTCTAATCAGCTAAGGTTACACAGGCTTAATCTTGTGATTTTGTTACGATTTATATCCCTGTTGATGTTCTCTGTTTGAAAGAAAGAACTTTTTTGACAAATCATATTTATTATTATTTATATATCTGTATTGTATACATTGTCATATTTATCATCAACCCAGTTACAGAAGTCTGAAATATCTTATACAAAATTCAGCTTTTACTGAAAAGAGCTAGATGTCCCACAGACAAAAATGTAGAAACATTCTATTTAGTGAGAGAAACGTTATCTGTAGCAAGTCCTATTATGATAAATAAAAGAGAACCATTGTATGTTATTCTTTGCTTCCTTAAAGGTGATCAAATGTTTTAAGAACCTCTAATAAGAAATTTATAAGAAGTTCTTAAAAAAAGGTTTCTCCAGAGCAGGGGTCACCAACATGGTGCCCGCGGGCACTAAGGGGCCCCCAAGGACCACAAGGGGTGCCCTTAGAGTCTTCTGAAAATAGAACAACTCAACAGTGAGAACCGTTTGAAATTTCATTGTATTCTGTTGCTCTTCTTTTTTAATCAGTTATAGAACATTTCATCATTTAATCATATATGGCATTTAAGCATTTATAGAGTTTTTAAAATGAAAGTGTCTAAAGGAAAATTTGAAATTTAAAGAAACGATAAAGATTGACCCTTGCATTTCATAGGTCAGTATTGGTAGCCCTTCCTGTGACTCAGTGCCCCTGAAATAGCCCTTAACTGTAAAAAGGTTGGTGACCGCTGCTCTAGAGTATAAAAATTAAGTAACTTAAAGTAATTTCTTTTAAAACTAGAACAAAAAGTGGTCCAAATTCCTTATTTTTGCTGTAGCTTTCTGATCAAAGCTCAACAGAAACTAACAGAGGTCATCTACATGATTACCAGATGTTTTTGTAAGGACTCGCCCTCTCCACTTAAAAAACCCCCCAGCAAATTCACAACACTGTACCTGCTCCTGAGAGGGAACGCTCTGTTTAAAAGTTGCCATTTGCATCACTCATACAAGCTTATTTCCAAATAAAGATTTGTAATTGTTCCACTAGGTCAGACCCACCACCGGTAAGTGAAAATGGAGACAAGCACGTAGGACGCCTTATGTAAACATATTACCAGAAAGATTGACAATTAGGAGGACCATTTATTTTGAGGATCCACTAGAAGAAGAACATCCTCCACTATACCTCTAAGTTCACAGCATCGTGAAACACTCTGAGACAGATAGTGATTTGAAATACAATCTGGTGGCCCCCTCACACAAACTATAAATGGAACCTGGGCAACTCTGGATGACATAAAAAAAAATACATTTTGCAAAGAGGAATGGTAAAATAACACTCACTCTCCAACCTTGTGAAATGCTATAGGAGAAGACTAAGAGCTTTATATAAAAGCTTTTAACACGTCTCTACCAAAGGTTCCACTAAATGTAGCTGCAGGTGTACATACAGTAAATAAAGTGTAGACCTATAAAATATAAAGAGAGGATCTGTAATTAGACCCTGCCAGTATTACCTCATTCCCCAGGCGGTACTTGATCTCATACATCAGTATAAGTCCATTAGGCATGAGAGGCTGTGGCCAATGCAACACCACACAGCCGTCAGTGTTGTCACACATTTCATAGATAACCTTCCCAGGAATGTCATCTGCTTTGGCTGCCAAAAACAATTACACACACAAGATAATAACATAAATATCTTAATGTAAGAGAAAAGAAATCATGGGGTATATTTTTTCCTTTTTCCATACCAGCAGGTTTTGTCCGGGAGAAGACAAAAGCTCCAACACTGCAGTTGAAGCCCAGCTGCTCGTTGCAGGCGTGGATCTCAATAAGATACGTAGTGAAAGGTCGCAGGTTGGGGATTTCTAAATATTCTGCAGAAGTTCTGTCATCATTGAAGGGGTACTCATTGACAGGAGGGATGCTGTCTGTGCTGTTCTCCCCTGAGCCGAAGGTGATATTGCCTTGACCGTCATCATGAAACTGAGTGTGGTTAGCAAGACCAAAAAGGTCTCTGCGGCGACGGTCTGGAGGTCTGAAATGAGGGAACAAAATGTGCAATGAGATACTGTCCTGGGCAATACAAAACAAAAAGTTAGACCATATACTTTTCAAATTGTCACTATGCGACAATACATAGCCGCTAATGTTTTAGGCCCACTGTAGGGGGGAAAAAAAGCCTGCAGGAGACTGAGTGTGCAGATGTTTGTGTTTGTGTCTGCCTTAAGCCCAGATGCTATGGAGTGTAATAAATGAGGTCAGACAGAACATTGCAAAGTGGACAGACAGAGACAGCGGAAGGAAAAAAAATACAGTTTCCACATTATAGAAAAAAAAAAAGAAGAAAAAAAATACAGACGTGAAAAAGCTCCTGCGGGGCGCATTACAATGAACAGTAAAAACAGCCTAAGGAAACTGTCCAGACAAGAGAAATTCCTCACTCATAACTACCACGGCTCAGTGGCAAAGAGGATGTTACACATTTTTGGCTCTTGTTGTCAGAGTTTAGATAATAAGCTGCTCCTGGAACTGCACATCATCACTAGTGAGGCGGTGACAGCTGTGAACGCAGCACCAGCAGTCACACTAGAGATACAGCAGGGCATCTAAACCAAATATTAAATATTTCTGACTGGTGACAGCAGGGATGGAGCAAAGCCTGATTAAGGAAGACTTTTTGATTGATTAATCTGCTAATTTTAAAGGAGAAAGTTACAAAAGTTGATCTTATCCACTAAGGCTTATATAAAAAAAATAAAGTGAAAGATTTAAACAACAAAGTCCAGACAAGCGAGTCATGACTACACGTTAAGTCTCCAAATAGCAGAGCAAATTAAATGTGACAGCATCCAGGAAATTTCTATCAATTTATCACTTTCTATTCATCATTAGGAACTACAACAGGAGATTACAATAACTAAAAGCTCCTGTCTGCAGATGACAGGTCCTTGAGGTCTCTAAAGCAGACACTGCCGTCTTCCACCCGTCTTTCTCCCCTCCTGTAGTCTGGTAATGCTGCTTTACTCTATATCTTCCTTCTAGTACTGGTGGGGCTATTCCCCCTTTCATCTATATTCCAGATGGGCTCACTGTACATTTCCTGGCAGCTGTCCTGCTCCAGAAAAAAAAACAAAAAGAGCATCCAGAAGAAGCTGTGGATTGGAGGGGAAGGAGGTGGTAGGGACAAGATGGAAAATATTTCCTGTTCTTTCTGTTCCTGTTTTTATGGACAGTCTCTTTCACCGCCTGGAATCTACATACGAAAAAGAGAAAAAAAAAAAAACCTCCTCGATTAAGTAAAAAAAAATGCTGTCTGAGAACACTTAAATGTGACAAATAATAAATTCTGTAAATAGTAAAATTATATGAATGCTTCATGACTTAATACTGTACCTCCGGCAAGAGGTGCAGAAAAAAAAACCCTGGTGATTATTTACATCAGTTTTAGCAGGTATGTGTGAAGTGGGGGGAGGAAGATATGAACAGGGCTTCATTCTGACAAATACTCGATTGTTAGTCGCTGGTGCAGAGACCACAGCTTTAAGAATGCAGGCAAAGATTGTGGCGTTAAATCGGTTCTCTGAGGGTTGGCTTGTGAAACCATGAGCCATTCCTGAATTTTCTCAAATCAAATGTATTTCCTCTCAATTTGAGCATGTGACTAAAAGGATCTGTCAGTCAAATTAGTATGTCTGCCCCTAAAACTAAATAACTATTGGGGCTGGGGAATATGACTTTAATAACCTATCGCCATATTTTTTTGGGAATAATAAAATTGACAATTAAAAACACTTCATTTATTCTTTGTAGTCGTTCTTAGGTAACTGAATAGTTGTGCCTGCATGTCACAGCAATCACAACACACAATCCCCACAATCACACTCTTATTAATATTAATTTAAAACAGGCTTCTCCAGGGAACCAGTTATTTAAAGAAGTGTGATTTATATCACTAAATATTCTGTAGTTACGGCATTTAATCATATTCTTTGAATCTGATAAGGCAATAGAAAAAAAATAATAAAAAGAGAAAAATAAACTGATTTAAAATTATTTCTGACTTTTTCATCATCACTTATGGTAATGTATTGTTTAAACAATAAATCACAATACTTAAAATTAGTAGCAGTAGTAAGTTTACCCCAAAAAACGATAAACAATACAATAAATGGCAACCATTTTTGCCTTGAACCCTAAAAAAATCACGTTACCATACCTTGGAAGAAAGATGGTATTATGGAGGAAGTTCTCAAAAACTTTTAAAAAGTAGCGGTCATGCTTCTCCCGCTCCTTCTCTTCGGCTGTCTTCTGGCAAGTACAACAGAGACCCTTTGTTTCCCCTGGAAGGGTAACCTTTGGTAGGTTTGGGTTATCTTTCTCCTCTAAAGGCCCTAATGATGGGCTCCGGATTGGTAACTTCAGATCTGTTAAAAAAATAAATAAAAAAGTGTAGGAAAACATATGCTTTAGTGAATGGCAGCATTCAAGTATTGTTTATACACAATAAATATATATTTTTTATGATAATTAAATCTAATAACCTTTAGAGCAGTAGTCATGGTGATAGAATTCCCTGTCTTCAGGCTGCCGCTGCCAGCGAACCAGGTAGTAAATTTGATTTCCATTGGGAAACACTGGAGGTGACCACTTCACTACCAATTTAGTTGAAGAGTTGGCATAAGCACGGGGATCACTGGGCATGGATGGCACTGAAAAAAAAAAAGAGCCATTGTGTGTTAAACAGCTTTGAACACAAAATGGTGAAAAAAAGATGGCAGTTTAGACTCACATGATGGTCGCGTGCGGATATAAATTATATCGCTCTTTGCCCCAGAAATGTGTTCGTCCTTCATCTGCAGAGTGGTGGCTTTCACATAAATCGCATACTGGGTCCAAGGCTTGAGATGTTGAAGAGTAAATTTGGGATCATTTTGGTCATGAGGAAGGTCTACATCCACCATGTGCCAGGTGTTGGAGCCACAGCCATCCTGGCCATCAAACTGTGTGATGTTCTGGAAGGGCCTGAAAAAGGATCAATTGGGCAAGCAAAAAAAAGGTTTCAGTTCTAATCATTATGCAATCCTCATGACACATATATGAATTATGTATTATGATTTGTTCCTGTTTGGTTTAAAGCACATGTGTATTTGAATTAGGGCTAAAAAACATACAGTGTGCTACTGTGAAAGGAAGCTTTGCATCATAGTTTCATTTTGTTTCCACATTTAATGATCCTCCGTCTAACTGATGAAAACATTTAATGCTCTATAGACATTATAAATGCCAGCTGCATTAATTTAAAATGTGAAGCACGGTGGAGTCCTGCTGCAGCGGCTCCAAGCATTCAGCATCCTGAGGGGAGTGATTCTGCATGGCAAAGGATAATATTTAGACAGATTAAAATGATACCTGATCTATATGGCATACTTATACCGTGCTTTGTTAAACATAATAGGAATCAAACTACTACTATAAATACAATATACTTGTACTGTGTGAGTCTGCTTAATTTGATCATCTATGCTTTTGTTTTCTAAGAAAAGTTGAATACAAGATGATAAACAAAAGCCATGTTAATACAGAAATGTTGTACTGATCACTGTGTTATTAGCCACTTTATCATAAGGGATATTGGTGCCTCTACAGCAGGGGTGGGCAACTCCAGTCCTGGAGGACCTGTGTCCTGGAACTTAAAGATGTCCTTGACTTAACACACCTGAATCAAGTAAATAGATAATTAAAAGGACTTTACTGCATATACACCTGAACCATTTGGTTCAGGTATGTTGTACCAAATATGCATCTAAATGTTTCAGGAAACTGGCCCTCAAGGACTGGAGTTGCCCATCCCTGCTCTACGGTTACAATTTGATGGACACTCATCATAAGTAGAGCAAAGCACAAAAGGCGATTAATAAGAAAGCTTGCTTTTTACACAGAGCTATATCTAAGCCAATAAAAAGTTAGTGGAAGAAAAAAAAATACCAATACCTGCTTTAACAACGATTGTATTATTGTGCTTGATTAGCCAGCAAACTAACGAGAGTTCATCTAATTTATGCATAAAAATAACCCTTTAGAAGAACTTCTAATGAATCAAGGTTTGCCTTTTCTTATATTTGCATATAAACTAACATAAAAATTGTGCACAATGTGATGAGGGTATGGCTGCAACTAATAAAAACTTTGCTCATGGATTCCTCTTTTGACAACTTTGGAAAGACAAAGGTGCTTAATAGGAGATTTATATTTACAAAATTTGATCAAGGTGAAGAGAAAACTGCCACTTGAGGAGTTCTGGATAAGGTATATGTACAGATACAGAAAGTTTTGCATCTTCAAAACGGATGTATAGAAAGTATAATTTCATCTTAATTACTGCTCCAAGCGGTTGTTCTTTCAGAAAATGACATGCTTAAGAGATTATCTCCACATTGGAAGTGATGGCTGAGCACTTACGACTCCTGGTAGTAGACTATGAAGCTGATGAGGTCTCCGTGGTCAGGGACTTGGTAGCGTTCCCATGTCAGAGTGATGGTGTGGCTTGTTGTAATGTTAGACTTGAACTTTAAAACGTCACTTTCACCTGCAATGATAGTTGACCATTTGTGTGTGAATTTACCTAAAAAGGCAAAATTATTTTCCTATTTTTAAGCTTTTTTTGTACAACTCAAACAGCAACAAATGGAAAAAGCCAAATCTTCACACTGATGGAAAGAACCACTCTGATAGAAACACTGTTTTGAAGTCTGCCTAGTTGCTAGTTGGACAGGCTTCAAAGAAATATTAAACTGCCGCCTAACTCTGCAGCATTTTCAAACAACCAGAGAAAATCCAGGCTTTGTTGGAGGAGTATTAAACAGACTGCAGTGATAGCAATTGTAGCATGTGCAAATAATAAATATATTGCATCAGTTCTGCAAATTAAAATTAAGCAACCATGAAACATAAAATTTCATTTGAAGATGAACTGCATTGGATTCCATACAACTAGGGGGATAAAAACACATTAATCACAAAAAACACATGAAACAAGCTTGAACTTTGGCAGATACAATACCGCCAGGAAGAAAACAGATGTGGTCTCCAATAATTTTGAACGATACATCTTGAATTATAGGATTTTCTTGCAATGTTTCAAATAAGTGAAACTTTTACAATGAGTTTAGCTGCATTTGGGTTCTTCTACAGCAGCCGACGGGTGTTAAATGATGCATGATTCTTTTCACTATTTAGCCCTTCAATTAAAACACAAGTGCATAAACCTGAAAACAAAATCATATATTTAAGGCAAACAAACCAGAAACTAACTCAGCAATGCAAGACGAAAGCTCAGAAAATAAATAATGAAAAAAGAACTGTATCAGCACAGGGTTCCAAAGAAGATAAAAACACATCCTCCTTTGAAATTTGAAAATCCCAAATTAATACAATAATTTCTTCGACATGTACTTAATAATAATGAAAGCAAGAACTTAAACGCAAGAAAACAGATTCCTTGACTTTTTTTCCCCCATCTTAAATTCTTCAGGGAAATCTCTTCCTGAGAGAAATTCACCTGAATGCTGACTGACAACAGAAAATCACAATAATTCTACCGCTTTAAATTCCCTCTTAGGGATCATGATTTCTCTCTGAGTTAGAAAACACAGTTTAGCACTTTAAGGACCAAAGCTGGGTATATCAACAAAAGTAAAATTCATCAGTCATTCTTAATAAAGATAATCATCTTTAAGTGAAGTTGTTTTTAACTGTTAAGAGCTATGAAAAATCACTATTTTAAAAATACTTTGTAAGCTGTTGGTAGGTGGTGGCCAATAATAGAAATGATGTGGTAACATAATGATAATTACCCACCAAAAGTCTCCATTGTTACATAGTAGCATACAAATCTTATAACTAAATGCAGGTAATTAATTTGAAGTCATATACCTTAATTTTGGGGTAAATACCAAATAAAGCTTTTCTTGTTACCGAGTAATATAGTGTTACTTGCTATGTTATTACAAGGTTATTAATTTACTGTAAAGTTAAGTGTTACCGGTTTTCTAGATTACTAAATTAGACAGAATATGGAGAAAAAAATGTAGACATGTGTAGAAACTTCTTTGATCTCATCATGCTCTTTATTAGAAAAATAACCCAAATAAATAAATATGACCCTATAAAGAGACATGATATTTTTAACAACTTTTTATTACTTCAGTAAAATGTTCACTCACAGCTCGCTCTGTCCCCGTTGTAGCGGTAATCTGCCTCCTCTGGTTTTACGGTTATGCCCGTCTTCTCCCACATGGCATGAATCTCAGACATGCAGAGCTTCGGGTTTCCACGGAAGAATATACGCCCTGCCTGAATAGTCAGGTTGTGTTGGGTCCAATTCCACAAGGACTGCAGATTCTGGTTGTTGACAGCGGAGAACGAATACATGCTGATAAGGGGAGAAGATAAGCAGAATGTCACAAACATGTTGAAATAATTTGGTGGAAACTGAAAGTGCATTGGGTTTGTAAATACTGTTGCAGTGTTGTGCATTTATTAAGGCGTGGAAAAAGGTGTGCTCTGATTTGTGTGTCTGCCTAACAATGAGCGTTGGTATGTAATGGTGTCGTGTCAACACCATTAGCACCAGCAGTCCAGGCAGAAAGCCTCCAGAGGGAAGGGAATGTCTGCCATCCTCTACAGCATTCCTCTGAGTGAAACTTAACACCGGGAGAAATGATAACAAGAAGTACACAAGGCTTTCCCATGACCTCCAGAGCCAAAAAAAAAAAAAAAAAAAACTCTGCCTGGAATCCAAGATGACTGCTGATATCCAAGTAAAGACATTAGCAGACCTGAACCTTTCCAGCTCCTGTTTTTGCTACTTATAAAATTATCTGGACACCATCACCAAAACATAAAGATTAGATAAATCCAACCCAGTTCACTTACAATACTAGAATAAAAGTACAAAACTAAGGGTCTACAGAGGAAATAGACATGATTCTTTTTTTTTTTTAACAAACAAATGGGGATGAAAGCTTTAGTTTCAACAGTTTTACTATTTGTAAATTTAGTGAATTATTTGACAGAACAACCAAAAGAAATCAATGTTACAACGCAAAAATATACATTTCCCATTACTTTCAGGTGTCTTCAAATTTTAAACAGCTGGTTTCTCATTAAAATACTTATTTCTATTAAATATATATATATATATATATATATATATATATATATATATATATATATATATATATATATATATATATATATATATATATATATATATAAAAACAAGGTTATCCAGGGCTGTAACTAATGATTATTTTGCAAATCAATTCAACCATTGATACTTTATTCTGATTAATCAATTAATAATCGGACAAAAAAAGGTTCCATAGAGAAGAGAAGATTTTACAGAGCATTTAAACCACATGAAGTCAAAACATTGACCTATGAGAAGTTCAGGATACGCCACAGTAATGGACAAAATAGGTTTCTAACCTTGAATGCAAAGTGTTTATACATCTTTTACGATTTTGGTTTAACCTTGAATGCTGAACCAAATGGTTGACCATTTGCTCAGCAAAAGGCAGGTTTCACTAGGCAGTTGTTACTGCTTTGAGTGTGTTGCTCTTTCAGATAAAGGCATCTTTTAGGGTCTGTATTCTAATGATTAAACAATTACTAAATTAGTTGATGAGTGTATCAATAATCAATAAATCTGATATATATTTTTCTTAGCCATAATGCTATTCATCTATACTTGGGATGGCAGGTTTAAGCCCTTTGTTTGTAACGGTTTTTTTTTTTTCTTTAGTCTAGTAACTTCATTGAACTGCAAACAAAATAGTTTTTTTTTTTTAGCAATACATAAACAAAACTATGAAAATTGTTTAAAAAAAACATTAAGAATAGCAGTCATAAGAATAAAAAAGTTAAAGCATCTGTTAGATAGTAAACGTTCCTGTTCCCAAACCTTAACAATAGAAAACCCTACTGCATCTGGCCATGTGTATCCAGGTACACACAGATCAGCCTTACTTATCGATAAGATCCTGTCCGTTGATGTATCGGAGGCTTTTGAGGAAAGACAGCGAGCTGAGAGAGTGGGAGTGTCGAATTCTCACGTAGCCAGTCACAGTCTGGATCAGTCCCATGAAGGTCTCCAGCTCTGAAGCTATATTAACTGCAAAGAGGTCACAAGGAAAGCAGACATGTATTGAAATTAGTCCGAGTCACCCAGATAAGCTCTTAATATGAGCCAATAATAAACCCTGTGAGCTGTATTAGGTGGCTTATCCCATATTCTACATTAACAAATTTACCTTGAACATTTTCTGATTTTATCCATTTATAAGCAAAATACAGAAATATCCGTATTTTACTGGGATTTTACTGGCATTTGCTTTTAAATGAATAACAGATGAAATCTAAAATGTGTTGATATTTGTTATTTAACCCCTTCTCTATTAGATTTAAATATTATTCTGCACCATCACTAAAGAGGTCCCCTGATTAGTAAGCCTAGTTCATCTGTGTAAAATTTAGTCTCTGTAGATGCCTCTGTTCTATGAAGGCGTCAGAGCTTTTTAAGATAACCATAATTAATGAAACCATCACATAGGCTGAGGAGCAGAGCAAGATAATGTTGTGAAAAAATTAGAACAAAAAATCCCCACGCTTTGAGCGCCTTCTGCTAGTGCTGACTTCGAGAAGGAAAAACACAAATTAGGCATGGGCCTTTTACATGTTTCATGCTATATCCCAATATTAATACATCACAATTTTAAAAACGCTGGTGTTTTCTGTCATTCTGTTAGTCAGGTATTTAGCAGCTGCAGCATCATGATCCCTCCCCCTGCACACCCCTCTGTAGCTGCCAGTCCAAAAGGTTGAATGACGGCTGAACGAGGGGAGCATCCAAAACCTGTTCCCCTTCCCTGACCCTTCTAAAGAAGAAGAAGACTTCAGCTATAATACTGCATACTGCATTTGGACAATGGCAGCCAGAAGAAGCAATATGCAGTGCTATTTGCTGTAGCTACGCACTTTGTGTACACTCGTTGGTATTTAAAATGTTTGCTGCTCCTTTGTGCATATAATGATTTATATGAGTGCCAAAAATCACAATGTACCCGTAAAGGGGAGTGCGAGCCTGAAAGGGAGATAAATTTTATCATGACAATAGTGATCTAAAAGCAGCTTCCATTGATGCTTAAAGTGACTATAGAGATAATGCTAAAGATCCGCCAAAAATTCAGGAAGCATTTCTTTTTTTTCATTTTTTAATTCTGACATTACAGAAAAAAGAGCTGTGATAATAAACTGTGATACTGTAAAATCTTTATATTTTTGTGTGAGGTTGTTAAACTAGCAGAATTTCATACCAGCTCATGCCTAATACAAATGCACACCAAACTTTTTAGACTATATATATTTTTTTATTTCATCATTCCCACAAATACTGGTAATAAGAATAACATAAGGTCAATTATGCAGCTAAACACAAACAGTACAGCCGCTCTTTAAAGTCACCAAATATCCCTCAGTGTATTCTGCATAGCTCTGTTGATAGCAAGAATTTCTGGAATCTATCGCCAAACCAATCTGTTGTGTAAAAGAGCACGTGGTGTTACAGGCACTCACTTCCACTGCGGATGTTGATGACCAGGTTGCCTTCGATGACGGTGCATTCCTTCAGGGACTGAGCAGCATCCACAGAATCAATGACAGTACCCCTGCAGTATTTGTCGCACAGACCGTTGCAAGCTGTGCAATGACTATGCATAAAACAGAGTTAAAGAGAGAGAAGGGGGGGTGACTTTTCATAATAATGATTAGAACAAAATCTTGTTTTTTTGTAATGTTTTCTACCTCTCCCTAAAATAATTCATCTTCTCTTAGCCTAGAAGCATTCTAGGGGATTCAGGCTGATAAATTCAGGGCATGATAAAAGGTCACTTCTCACATGGACAGTTTAATCTTTTATGGAGCCTCTGCTGAAATGTTCCGTGAGAGAGTGACTCACTGGTTCGACCTCTGAGACAAAGCGCATGCAATGGCTAGAAACACATGCAACTCGGATCCAAACTCCCGAGTTTGTGATAAGAAAAAAAATCTTAAAGGACTGCTGTGAATGCTCAGGAGTATCTCGGACAGAGCAGCAGAGAGTAACGTTTAACTATGAAATGGAAGTGAATTCATAATAATTTTGACATTATCTAAAATATTTTATTAACATATTTTTTGTGTTCCAATGCATTTCTCAAAGAAAAATGCAAATGTAACTTTTTAGGGATTTTTTTTCCACAATAAGGCAGGATCAATGGAGTCCATGACTAATAATTGTCCAATCTACAGATCTCCCCACCTGCTGTGGATCTCAGCAGCCTATCATAAGCTTCCCTGTCGCTTTTCTGATTGTTGCCTGGCCAGTTTAGATAAATGGAAATGCTTTGGTATGGTGGTCTCTTTCTACTAATTAGCTAATTTCTTAAGGTTCTACATGATTTGATCCAAGTTATCAGAGGAAACCATACATGCAAAGATCACTTTTCTAACTTTCGCTTAGAGAACTGCTAAGAATCATGTTTTTTTTTCGTTTTTTTCCTTCCACATTTTTTGGATCGATCACAAAAAAGAATAACAACAAAACACTTTTTATGTTAGTAAAAGATAAAGAAATGTGAAAAAGTCCAAAGTTCTATGATTGCATGTAAAGGAAGTAGAAAAAGCCTCAGGCGAGTCTCTTCTTTCAACCTCCTAGTACTGGTCTGTGAAATGTATCAGTGTGAAAGTAGAAAACAAGGCCCTGCGCTGAGGACATTTTACTGTATAGACCGTCAAATCATGAATCTTTTAGAATTCGGCACACGCTTAACCTCTTCAACTTCCTGTGTCAAGAACTACTTTAGGAAAAGATCCGTGTGAAGAGTTGAGGTCAGTTCAAGTTCAAGTCAAGGATGCCTTATGCAAAGGAATGCATAATGCATAAGAGCACTCTGGATGCAGGCTGCTTTAATGTCTGTGAATACTTAAGCGTTAACACCCGTCTGTTGACAGGAAATTTCACCAAAACATCCAGTTCTGGAGGTTCAAATACAGAGCAAAGATAAGGACTTAGAATGTCTTTCAAAGTTCTTTAATATGAGATATTCCTATTTTTAGAGATTATAAATCAAATATGCCCCCCAGTTTAGCATGACCATGAAATTAGAAAGGTGTCTGAGTTGTGTTTGTGTCCTTACCGATCAGTCTCGTTTGAACTACGTTTGAACCCAGAGGGACAGTCGCTCATACATTCTCTGTTGTGAATGACAAAGAGATTGTCGTTGGGCAGATGCACCTCACTGCACTCAGTCATGGTGATGCAGCGCCAGCCCTCAAACATGAAGGTGCCATCGGGGCAGTCTGGCACGCAGCGACCATCGTGGTTGTAATGGATGCACGCAGAGCAGGCCATGTCGTTGTTGGGTTCGGAGCAGCCCCCCAGGCATTGGCTATGGCAGCATTCTCCCTTATCTGTGCAGGCCAACTTGCACTGCGGAGGACAAACTGAGGTGGACAGAGACACACATGGGAAGAAAGACGGTGTCAGACGATGGTTAAAAAAAAAAAAAAAAAAGCTTGCATAATGATAAAGATTAGTTAGACAAACTCTGGCTAACTCTTGGTGCATTCAGATTCCTGATCACCTGCTTTGATTATCTTTTAAAATGGCTTTGCATCACTTTAATCTAAATGACCTTCATTTTTTGGGAGAGAAAGAGAATCAGACAAAATAAACCATTTTAAAGACATAACATTCACTGCTCAATGAAATGTTTGGGACTAGACTGATACTAATACCAAAACTAATATTTAATTTATGATGATTTAGCACCAGTTATTTGCCATTTAAACAATACTAACTAAAATACAGCTGTTGTTCCCTAAGTAAAAGCGAACCATTATAGTGCCACAATCACAGTACTGAAGTTTTAGTAGGGTCTGTTTTGATACTCTATTCATTTCATATTCATATTCAAATTAGTTCTAAATTCTTCTAGCCATGGTTAACTAGCAAAGTAAACTTTAATTGCTTTGCTTATCTAAAATTTCTACAGATTTTACCCCATTTACAGAATTCATCTTGTAAGGCAAGTAACTATTTCAAAATTGAATACATTGAAACAGAAGAACCATTTGGAGATTTAGTAACATCTTATGTAAGCCATATCAGTGTCAGCAACCTGTTAAATCTAGTGAATATTTTCAGTATTTTGATGAAATAAATAATGCTCTAGCTAAAAACTTTCTCCTTAACCGTTACAATAATATAGTACAACGTAGTGTACAGTTCAAGGTTCCTCTTTTTATTAGAATCAATACTGATAACTTTATACAAATGTATGACTTATTCTTTAAAGTAAGGCAGTTTGTGTTTCACTTTTACTGCCACCATTATAATGCATCAATTTCTGATGTTTGGCTCATTCCCTTACATCACAAAGAGGGAAGGATAATCAAAAACATGCCTCACTGGAACCGGTTCACTGTGACATCTGTGAATCAGCTTGTAGATGCATATTTTTGATATGAGGACAGCCTTACCCTGGAATAAGGACTGTTTTGGATTGTTTGGAGGGTGGGGACACAGCGAGCAAAATGGTTCAGTTCAAGGGGTGAGAACTTCTAATGCTGACTGATTAATCGCAAATAAATTACAAAATAAGGCCTAAAATTATCATATTATTTTCTGAAATGTAGCACAGATTACGTTAGATTTTTAGCAACCAAGCATGTGACAAGCAACATATCGTACATAAGTTTCTGTTAATTGCAAAAAAGACGTAGAACTTTATTACTGTTTTCCTTATTAATAATAATCATGTACACAGGGTGAACGCCCAGTTTCAGTCTGAATAAAAGAAATCCTTAAAAGAGTAAGAGAATCTTTCCAGAATTAGAGAAAATTAACTCACATTCTTCTTGAGCAAAAAACCATTAGATGCTTTGTTGGTGAAGATTCTCAGTCATCCAGGTAATAGAACATTACAAAAAAAGTTAAGGTAAGATAATGAATCTCATTTCAGAGCCATAGCCCAGTATCGGATATTGCAGAGAACCCAAAATAACCCCTAATTCCCTAAGGGGCGGAACCGTTCTTCTCGTTCAATTTGCATGTTTTTTAAGCCAAAATAAGTTTTCCAGTCAATAAAGCTTGGAACTCAACGCTATTTCTGACATTTTGAATTAAAAGAGCTTCCTGGATGGGAAGTGAAAAGTTTTCAAACTTGGAAGCCAAGTCCAGAGGATTGTTTGACTTTTTTGGAATGACGTTAGAAGCTCCTCACTCTTTACTAAGCATTACTTGGAAACACAAACACCTGAAAGGTATCTGTCAAACAATCCATGCTGACAATTTCTAACATCTAACATGATCAATAGTCAGTTTTCAAAAGTCTTCAAAAGTAAACTAAAAGAACACTAATAAAGGTATACAAGGCATAAGGTATTAACTTTTAAAGTTAACTATGATGGTTTTGTGTCTTTTTTTGCCATCAGAAAAACTGTTTCATGCGTGTTTACAGAAACACTTTAAAAAGGTTAAGTACAGATGAAAACTACAGAAAACATCATATTGCATGTGATGATTAGTCTTAAGCCTCTGCGTGCAGGGATGTCCCACTTACAGAAAGACCCAAAACAAGAGAAAAAAAATTCTGGATTATGCTTAGACAAAGCTAAAACATTTGATTGACAATATGTTTTCAGTAAAAAAAGTTCTACCGCGTATGCAGGGTATAGATTACCTAAATTTAGGACAAAAGCTATTTCATACCTGTCCTTTGGTGTTACACCCCTTAAACCAGCATTCATCATACGTAGGTGATATGAAAACATCTGTAATAGAACCTTCTGAGCATCTTGTACCATAATCATAGAACATATTGTGTTTTTCAACTAAATAATATGCAATTTTTTTACAGGAATATGAAAAGCTTATCTGCAGTAGCACTATATTTCCAGTCTATACTGGAGATTCCAGTGATTTATTGTTCATATATAGTGACTAAAATGAAGAGAAATAAAAGAAAGATAACAATTACACAATCATCTAAAGAGTTTGATATATTCTCCAAGATGTACTGTGTTGTGCTGGATTGTCCTCACCTGTTATCGACAAACCCTCACCCAACAGCTCTCACAACTAATCACAATGATATATATTATTACCAAAACCTCAGGAAGTCTGTGTAAATGTGTAGTTACAGTATTCAGTGGTCCAAGTATATGGTATCACATAGAGCTAATGTTAACCTCGGGTTAGTTTAAGGTCAATAAACACATAAACAGGGTAGGGAAGATGATTTACTTAACCTACATCCACTAAAAAAAACGTTCTAAAAAATAAAAATCCCCAGGATTATGAAGCAATGGGAATTGAGTGAAGAAGATACTGCAAAGTTTAAGTAAAAAACTGACAAAAGTCCAATTGGAAGTATCATGGTAACCCCTGCTGTTACGGGTTAGTATTAGGTTTGAAAATATAATTATCTCAGTGATATTTTTCAATGTCATCATCACTTTAGTCAGAAAACAGCCTAAGAACTTAAGAAATCAAATGCTTTCCTAGGGAAACCTGTTACAGATAAGAATATGAACACATTTCCCTCTTATCTTAAATTTGTATGCAAAAACTTAGAATTTTGTCTTGGAATTGCAACACCAAATTTTACACATGGGCAACTCGACCACATGGAAATAGGAGGCATGTACTTTTTGGTTCCTTAGCAACTTGTCTCTATGTGTCAGCTGTAACTGGAGGAAAACATTCAGAGACACTTTTTCTTACCTTCTCTGTGTGTGATGGTGTTATCCTCCTATTTCTTCAATTTCAGCCATCCTATTCTTGGACTACTCAATGTGAAGTGCATTTGTGTAAGATGCACATGGAAATGCAGGTTGGTCAGTATTTTGTGCACTTTATTTCATTTCAAACTGTGAAATAGCCCAAAACACCTAATCTGCTCTATTTAATATATGCATTAACTTATTTTTTTAACTATCCAGTGAAAGATGTAGCTCCTTTCCACTCCTTTAAGATCCATAAATGCTTCAACTATTTTTCCTTTCATTCTGTCAGATCTAATAGTCATATGCTGGAACAATTTTACAGTTCTACAAAAAAGGAAAAGATGACTCCTACTTTAAGCAATTACAAGCTTTTTTTTTGCCTTTTGGGTCTTAAAAGGGGAGTTAAAAAAAAAAAGACCAGGTAGACTAGCTTGATTGTGTTCAGTTATTCTGGAATAAATCCACAGCAAAAGCCAATGATGTTTTTTTTTTCTTTTTTTCTTTTTCTTCAAACTACAGCATCAGATATCAACAGTGGTTCTCAAATAACAGCTGTGATCTGATTTGAATTACTATGCTGACGTTAGTGTGGTCTGCTCAGGAAGAGTAGTGTTGCACATTAGCAAGTACCAAAGAAATAAAAAAAAAGGACAGTACGGGGTTTTATTTTCCTGGAAAACTACCAAAAGGGGGCAGCCAAGGCAAACACTAATGAATCCTCTCCTTGAAGGATGTCTGTGCTTTCTGCATCATTTTAACAGATCCCTCAATGCGGAAAAATCCCAAACATGCATGCCTTTTGCCAGAGGAGAGCAGAGCAAGGGGAGAGTCACTGTCTTGAATCCATATAAGTCGACCAGGTTTCACTGGCCAACCCAACAACCCCCAGTATCAAGGATGCAATCACCTATTTATGCATGCTCCTAATGCAGGCTATTTCCACACATCTGCTCTTTACACAAAGCTATGCAGGGCATTATAGGTTTCAATTTCTTTAAAAGAGAGGGACTTCCAAACAAGGGTTTCCTCTGAACAGAAGACGTCAGCTTCCTCGATGTTCCAATGAACAAGAATAAACGAGATGCATCAGAAGTCTGGGGTCTAGACCATGTGTAAGTTCACACGGTGTTACGTTAAACAGCTGCTGAGAGATCGGATCACAGACACAAGCCGTGGAAAAAGAAACAGTCCCTATAACCTGAGCTGAATATGTCAAACTGCTGAGAGTGGAGGTAGGTAGGTTCAGCATGTTGTTCTCCTCATATAGTAGTTACACAACTCCCCTCCCTCCCGTGCTCTCCCTGAGCAAACACAGTCAGGTCAGACACCATAACCCAGGCATCAGCCTGCGCCTGCTGTTTACCGGAGTGCTGTAACACGGGGATCAACTGGGTACATGCCATCCATAGCAACCGAGGCAACGGTCAAAACAGGATAGCTGAGGCCCACCAGCCCCATTCCCAGACTTTTGCCGGATTTTGGCAGCAATTACACATGACAACACCAAAAAAACAAATGAAAAACAGATCTTTCTAACACATGAGTGTTTTTTTATCCCGAAAGGTGTTGTTTAGTTGCAGGGCTATGTGAAAAATTTGCAGAACGTTGGAGGCCAGAGAGAACGGACCAGAGAAAATGTTAATCCCTAAGATAACTTCAGCAAATGGTACAGGTGCCTACAGAGAATATTTTCTATACAAACAGGGTTAGAGGAG